AGACAGACATCTTGTTAGTGTGGGTTGAATTGAGCAAATCCTGTTGCTGCTGGGGGCTTGGGATGGGGTGAGGACAAGCAGGGTGTGGGAAGGTCTTGGTGGCACCGAAAATGAGCTGAGCCCCTGAGAGGTCTCCATCCTGCAGGGAGTGGTCACTGTCTCCCTGCTTCCCGGGTGATCCGGGTTATTAAAAATGCAATAAGGATCGAGTGGGGGAGCGAGGCTGTGCTCACACAAATGGGATGCAGAGCAGTATCACCAGCTCGATCAATGCAGCTGGAAGGAGCTCAATAGCTGCTGCAGAGAGTGCTGAATACAAACTGGGCACTGCGGGGGGAGCAATTACCGGGAGCCACTCGCTGGAGTGAGACGAGCAGGGGAGGCAGCTCCACACTCTCAGACACATCTGCTCCCCAGGCAGGCTGCTATGACACTGATAGTGCCCTGCCTGACTGGCCTTTTCCACACCAAAGCCTCCAGCCTCTTCTTCCCAGACTTGGGTGGTGAGGGAAGACCTGGGGAGAGACCCCTTGGAGTCTGTTTGCCCAGAGATCCCGAGCTGGGATAATTTCTCTCCTCTGGTTCACCCTAAAATGGTGAGTGGTGGTGCACTCTGGCACCCAGGGATGTCAGCAGTGAAGTCACCAGAGCTGTGCTTTTGCACTGGCTGGAGGTTTGGCTCCTGCCTAAAAGCTGCCAGGCAATCTCAGGACGGACACTGAAGTGTCCCTTTGGTGTCTCCCCACATTTGTGGGGTGTCCTGTAGCCTGGGAGTGGGTCACTGAGGTGTGCATTTGGGAGGAGACTTCATTAATGATGTGCTTATACAGGAATGCTATCTTTGATGCCTGGCATTGTAAGGTGTGTTGTCAACCTGTGTCTGTTTTGGGATGTTCTGCCTGGAGAAGAGAAGGCTTTGGGGTGAGCTTATAGCACCTTCCAGTGCCTAAAGGTGACCTGCAAGAAGGCTGGAGAGGGGATTTTTACCAGGGCTTGGAGTGACAGGACAAGGGGGAATGGCTTTAAGCTGAAGGAGGGCAGATTTAGATCAGATATTGGGAAGAAATTGCTCCCTGGGAGGGTGCTGAGGCCCTGGCTTGGCTGTGTGGCTTTTATTAGCCAGGTTCTCCCAGTGGTCTGAATGTTGGGGTCACTCCAGAGGTTTTGTCTCCTGCTGTGAAGTGAGAGTGCAGGTTGAGTGCTTCCTGAAGCATAGGAGTGACTTCACCCTCTAATAACTCCTCCAGCCTCGTCTCCCAGGGAAGCCCTTTGTATTCAATTAGCTAATGTGTGCCTAGCACTTGGAAAATATAGAGTGCCATAGAATTGCTAAATGTTGTTATTTAACAGCACATATTTAGAGGTTGCAGCCCTGCAGTATAAAAGTCAGAAAACCTACACTGTAATTGCCTGGTGCTGCTGCAGAATTTGCTGTGGTTTGAGCAAAGCCTAGGGATTTTTCACCTGTAAAAGTTCATTAATTTTGGCTGCTGACACTCTGGGGCTGTTTTTTCCCGATGCCTCTTGAAGCAGAATGTTGACTTCTGGTGGGTGTTTTTAAAAAAGGACTGAAAAGAGGGGGAAGAATTCAGGATTTTTGTCTCCCAGAAATTCACCTTGGCATCACTCCTGGTGGTCTTCTCTGCACCTCAGGTTGGACTGAGGTGGAGGGCAAAGTGTTGGTCAACTATTGCAATTGCTGCAGTGTAGGGAGGGGGGGGAAAATCCTTGGTGATGGAACAGAGATGATAAGGGAGATGCTATTTGAACCCATCTCTTTGATTCACATCCTCCCATGTCCACCTGCCTGAAAGCCTGTGGTTACAAAGCTGTATTTGCACAGGTGGAGGAGCCTTGGAGTCCCCTTTTAAACAGAATGTGAGTTATTTTCCTGATGGCTTCTTGCTCTTATTGCATTGGAAAGTTGTCTTCTAGCCTGCAAAAGCACCAGCCAGCACTGAGGGTAAGGAAGAGGAACTATATGAGGAGAGAAAGGCAGCTGTGAAAGTGTTTTGTGCAGGAATTAGGTCCCTCAGCTCTGTCCAGCAGCTGAGGCAAGGTGGTAGCTTAGGCAAAAGTCAGTTTTACTCTGTCTCAGTGAGAAATCTTTGGATCTCCATCTGAAAATACCCCTGAGATCGGGGTTTTCCGCCCCTTGTCCTGCCTGTGTTTGCCTCTTGCCACGGGAAATCAGCTGAGAGCTGCAGGCCTTGAATGGCAAATGAGTTTTGTGTTTGCAAAACGTGGGTTTGGAAATGTCAAGCGTGGTGAATGGGTGTGTAAAAAGGGGAAAAAAAAAAAAAAAGCCCAGACAGGGACAGAAGCTGAGCTGAGTATCTGGATGCTCTCACCCCTTTGCCCTCCTTGCAAAGCCTGACCTTACCAAATCTCTCTTATCCCACTGCAAATGAAGTGTGTCCCCCAAGGGTGGTTTATCTCCATCTCATTGCATAGGCAGCTCACGGCTCATTTCCCCCTGACCTGGGTCTGCAGAGTGGTTTTGTGAATATCTGGTGGAAAAAAACGTTTAGAGGCCAGAGATTGGAGCTGGAGCAGAGGGAAGGGGCAGGGGGCAGTGGGGGGAAAGGGTGGGGTGCAGGCCATGCCACCCCCCTGTCTCACAGAGCTGGTGCTTTATGGTCATGACAGCCACAGACAGGGGGTTTTCTGCAGCTGGAGGCTTGCCTGGAAAAAGATGGATGTGGATGGGGAGTGCTGGCTGTAGGAAAAGACCCAACCAGCCACTGCTAATGAGAGCTGGGAAAAGCTGCTGCTGACATTTGAACCGGAGCAAATTGGTGTCTCTGGGGGGAGCGTGTCGGGGTCTGCCTGTGTTGCTTTGCAGGCAGCGAGCCCTGGCAGCTGCCTCCAGCCCCGGGGAACCCTCCCCGAGGAAATTGGGCTGATGCAGGCGGGGATCCCTCCAAAAACTGTGCCGTGAGCTGGGCGAGGGGCCAGGAGTGACCCCGGAGCAGTCAGAGCTGTGGGTTCAGCTGGAACAAACCTCACCCCTGCCTCGGGTTCCCTGCGGGAAGCCAGACCCTTCCCTCGCCCATTAGTTGCTAATTTAAGGAGCAGAGCACAACAAACCTGCAGCCTCAAAAGCTTAGGGATGTTTTCAGGGCAGAAAAGGCACAATGGATACATGCAGGGAGGGAGGCTGGGGCGGTCTGGCCCGAGAACAAAGCCTTGGACTGTGTGGCTGTTCTGGTACAAAACATCCCATTTTCCTTCTGTGTACAGCCAAGCCAGGAGGGCAGTCAGGCAGCTGTCTGCCTCGTGCCCTGCACAATTTGCCTCCCAGCTCTGGCTGCAGGGAGATGGTGTTTTTTCCAGGGGGGGGCTCAGCACATCTCCTGCTGCTCCGTTTGCATCCAGGATCTCCTCCAGCCCAGCTCCTCATTAGCCACCTGCCCTCGTTGCACGGGCTGACAGGATGCCTTGGGTAAATGGATGACCCATCAGGGAGGCAGCAGGATAATATCATCCCAATGAATCAATAGTTCACAGGCAATTTCATGTTACCCAACGCTAATGCGGTTGTGTCCAAAACGCACTTAATCCTCTGTCTGATCACATTCCCGGGGGAGTTTGCCTGGGCTGGAATAGTCTTGTAACTCCCATGTTTTGGAGATTTACAGACGCTGTTCCTGCGTGCCCGGGAAGGCAGCAAAGGTAAAAAATGGGCTGGCTTGTTGCAAATCTCACACTCCACAGAGCCCAGAGCCGTCCGTGCCAGTGATGGAGGAGAATGGGCATCCAGCAGTTCCTGAAACTATTATTACTCCCACCTCCCTGCTCCATTTTAGCAATTAGCAAAAGAGAAATTAGTGAGGAAGGTGCCATTATTTGCTGCTAATAGGACAAGAAGGGTTGGACCCTTCTCCAGGAATCTGTCGTGTAGCTGCTTCCCTTGATGTGAGTGGCAAAGGAGGGCTTTCCCTTCTCGCTGTCATTTTTATAATATGCAGTCATTTTTATGCATTGTACCACTTTGCTTTTTAGAACTGTGAGGGGAATGCTCCCAAACTCCAAAACCCTGCAGTCAAAGCACCTTCCCACCCTCCACAGGGCATTAGGGTGTCCCAGGAGTGGCATCTCCTCCTGGTACCTGGTGCCAGTGCAGGATGGGGTTGTTAGGATTAGGTAGGTCAAGGTTAGGTTCCTCCTCTCCCCTGGGGAAGGAACTGGTTCAACTTAACAGTTTAAAACTTGGTGTCACCAAATTGATCGTGGTGGTGGAGCAGCTTCACTCAGCAGATGATGTTTGTCACCCAGGCTGGGGCCCAGTTCAGAGGAAATTCAGAAGAATAAGGAAAAGAGGTGGCCTTGGTGGCCTGGGGATTCCTCCTACCTTGAGTTTGGATGGAGAACCATTGCTGGTGTCCTCCCACTGCCTGGGGCTCTCAGGCACAGCAGTGTTTTCACAGAGAACAGAGCAGGGATCTGTTTTTGGGAGTGCCTTGGAGAGAGGGCAGCGCTTGAGAAATATAAATCTCTGTGTGCTCTGGACCTCCCACAGCAGAGCTGACCTTCTCTGGGCTGTTGGAGCAGGTTAGTGGCTTCATCTGAAATACATCATCCACCTCCCTGCCTGGGCTGTGACCCTGGTGTCACAGGGAGCTCCTGCCAGAAGGGGGGTGGTTTGTAACTGCAGAAGGAACACCCCACTCAGGTGTGGGTTGGCAGGAACCACAGCTCAGGAATGGAAACTTTCCTTAACCTTTTTTGGAGGGTTTTTTTTTTTTTTGATGAAATTTGGGCAGTGTAACCCTGGACTTGGCTGCCATCTTCATTACAAGCCTGAGATGGGCAGCACAAATCCTGTTTAGCACCCAGACCTTCCTCGCCAACGAGTGGGTGGGATTCATCCCCAGTGTGGAGAGGGGGTTCCACATGTAACTCCACAGTCCCATCTTCCCTCCAAGGGTTGGCTGGTTTGGAAGCTTCCAGTGCCTGTTTTCTTCTCTAATCCCATTTTCTGCTTCGTGCTGCTTTAGGAGTTCTCCCTCCAGCGCCTTGACAGCCTGTTGGATGACAGAGTCAACATCCTGGGATTTTCCATTTTCAACCAGTCTCATGCCTTCTTCCAAGAGTTTGTCCAGAGCCTCAACCAGTCCTGGCAGGAGAACTGTGATCACGCTCCGTTCACTGGGCCAGCAGTAAGTAAAATTCATTCCCATCACCCACAGCCTCCCTGGGCTGGGAACAGCCACAAACCAACAGGAAAACCTTGTGAGAGGAACTTCAGGATGGTCCTGAGCAGAGCCTGGCAATGCAGAGGTAGAAGCTCTGCTCTCAAAGGGTACGTTTTTTTAATTATTAAATTTATTAAATAATTGAATTATTTAATCCAAGTGAACCCTGTGCTGAGGAGCTCAGGCTGCAGCTGTACTGCTGCACCTTGGACTGGCTTTTGTGGGCAGAGGAATGGGAAGGATGAGCCAGACAGAGCATTTTAGCTGAGTAGGTAGGAGAGGAATTTGGGTATCAAGCTGTGATTTGCAGAGGAGGATTTGATTTGGAGAATACTAAAGTGATCCTGAAAGTCAGAGGCTGCCCAAAGGGACTTGGGGAGCAGAGCTTTAGAGGGGTTCCCTGTGCTTGAACTGGGGCACAGCTCTTAATTCAAGCCTAATCTTAGTTTAAACTGTGTTTTCTGTGAGTGCAGGGGATGATGCAGCTCTGATTCAGTGTTTCCCTTGTGGAGTTTGTCCCTGTGTGTTTTACCTCCAGTAACAATGGCTCGTGGCAGAGGGACTGGGAATGCAGATGGCCCAGAAAGGGCTGGGCTCAGGCAGATGCCAAAAGGCTGGGTTGTGTTCCACGCTCCAACATCTCCCTGATGAATGTGCAGATCAGGACTGAAATCTTCCCCAGGGATTCTCCCCAACTGGGAAGGTTTGCAAAGCACATTTGCCACATCAGGGGTGCTGTGACTGGAGCTGGGGGAGGAGAGAGAGAGAAAATACCATCAGTGGAACCCCCTTGCTTGTTTTTTAATGAGCTCAGAGTCCCCTTGACGAGCTGAGGCAGCTCTGAAAACCTTATTGTCACCACAAAGTGATCCTTAACAGGCAAAATTAGGAGCTTGCTGCCCTTATTATTATTATTTCTGCCTGTTGGATGTGCCTGGAACCATCCTGCTCTCCCTCCTCCCTGCTCCACTCACTTGCTGCCTGCCCTGCTGAAATCTCCATGGGATTGCTACCAGGAAACTTCCTATTTGGATGACAGTTCAGAGGCATTAAAAACAAATTTCCCTCTAATAGTACAAGCAGAAGAAGTCAGTAGGAACAGGAGTGTAGCAGGTGTGATGGGGAAATTAAAATTCTCATTGGGCTTTCTTACCCTGTGTTGTCTCGAGCAACCAGCAAAACCTGCAGGTGGAAGGATGCAGGATTATGCCTGGAATTCTTCAAAATGCCATGTCCCAGGTGATGAAAAAGGGATTTGCCCTGGGTGGGGAAGTTACAGAGCAGAGCTGAAATATTCCCAGGCAGGGCATGTGTTTCCTTGCCTTTGTCTGGGAGGAAAATTCCGCCAGGGATCGTCTCTGCTGTTGGAAATCTGGCAGGTCTCATCTCCCCTCTGTGTTAGAACTTCCCCTTGTAGTCCTGGGAAGGAGTTGTCTCCTGGAATAGCTCATCCTAAAGAGGGGAAAAGGAAGCTCAACAGCTGGAAGTGACAGGAGGGAGGTTTCCTGCGAGCTGCAAAATCCCAGGGCTTTCTTCTGGAGCTGAGGAAGCATCTGACAAAGGAGGAGGGAGCTGCCTGCTCTAATGCCATTCTCATTAATCACATTGCAAAGAAAGGAAATCAGAGAAAATCATTCGAATTACAGATGGCTAGATTTGGTAATTAGAATTTAGGCTAAAACAGATGTTTGTAATTAAGTGTTTATGCCATTGAATAAAATCCAGATTGTAAAGTCTGTTTCACAGGGTTTTAACGGCTTTAATTCTCCGTGTTACGTTTTGGGGGCAAAGATACAGATGCTAATGTTTGAGGAAGGGAAGGGAAAAAAAAAGCCAGCCCACATGGCACAACCCAAAGTAGCCAAACCTGTTCACTGTTTCCCTAGAGAGCAGCTTGCCTTTAAACATTGGCCTTTACATGGGAGATTTAAAAAAAAAAAAGTGGATTATTCTACTTGACTGCTGTTGGTTTTTAGAGGGGCAGGTCTGCTGTTGGGAGGAGGATGTGCTGCATCCAGCAAGGAGCTGGAGCTCAGGCTCAGGGCATCTGATGGAGTTCATTGTCTTGAAGACACCAGTTGGAAGGTCTAGCTGCTGATCTTTTTTTTTTTTTTGGTGCTTTCTAGTTGGTGAGTTGTTCCCAGGGCTTTGTGTCACAGCTGGACTCTTCAACAACCCCCTAGTTTTTGGGTACAGCCTCTCCTTGTGCAGCTGGGGGTGGAGCAGGGAGCCCACCTCCCCTTCCCTGGAGCCCTGCCCTGATGAGACACCCAGCAAGTGGCAGTTTTCATCAGCAACTTGCATTGTCAAGAGTTTGGCTTCGGGGATTGAGGGAAGTCCCCAGAGCCCCGTGGATCTGCTGACCCTGCCAGGGAGCTCTGGCATGGCAGGGGTGGCACAAACCCAGCAGGGATCTGCACAAATCAGAATCCATTTGTTAACAGACAAATTGGCTGTTTGAGACAGGGTGACAAAGCTGGGGGTTAAAATGAGGACATGAAAGGAGTGAGAGATTTTAAAGGTGACATGGAGAAAGTTGAGGTGAAGTAACAGGAAGGCAGTGGCAGATCCCCCTCCTCGGATCTGCCTGGAGGGAGTTCCAAAGGTGCTGCCTCCAGGTCTCTCTCCACTCCCCTGCTGAAGGCTGTGCCCTCCAAAATGTGTGGCTGCTTTGCATCTTTTCCAGTGCAAAATCCAGCAGCTTCAGGTACCTCAGCACTGACTCAGGTGAGGCTGCAGGGAAGGGGAGGGGATGTTCTCAGCTGACCCCGTCCTCATTTTGACTTTTTGGGCTGCAGGAGACACTTGCCTGCCTCCAAAATCCAGGGGGACAAAGAATCCAGAAATGCTGCTGCACTCCCAACACCCTGTAATTGGGAATGGGTTTCCTCCACACAGCTGCATCCCAAATTTCCTTGCTGTGTTGAATATGATCTGTTATATCTGAGTTACCATCTGAGAAAGAGATGAGAAACAGAAAACACTGGGGTGAGCTGAGAGGCAAATGGGAGAGCTCCTGAGGAAAGCTGTGATTTTAATTCGGGAAAGAAAAGAGGAATGGGAAGGATTCCTATTCCCTACCACAAGAGCTTGATCCTATGTATCACCATGCCCTCCCCAGTCCCTAAATTCCTTGAAATTATAAGGGGCCTGCCAGAAATCCTGACAACTTTTTCAGAGCAAAACACTCCAACCAATAATGTCAAATGCTTGCTGAGATCTGCAAGTCTCTTGCTCACCAGCTAATAAGAGGTCATTAACTGCTCAGGGCAAATGGAAATGGAAACCCAGCAGGAGACAATTAAAAATGCTGGGCCAATATTCTGATTTGGTACGAAATGGTGAAGCTCTGGGGTCACAGGGGTTGTGTTTGGTCTCATAACAGTTTCATTTGTCCAGCTGGTGGTGTTAATCTGGTTCCTGATTCAGGGAAGTAATTGCTAATTGTGTGTGACATCCTGTGACCTGAGTGGAATTAAGTTCACAGTGAAAATTAAGTGTATGCTAAAGAGCTTCATGGAACAGGGGCTCAGGACAGGACAGGCTGGAGAGGCCCTGTTAGGAAAAAATAAAGGCAGGGAGAAGGATATATCATCTCCTTTAAGGATCTCTGAAAAATGCTTCCCAGGAGGGGAATGTTGGATCAAGTTTAGCAGACTTACCCCCAAACAGGAGGGAAAAAGTGCAGGAGAGAGACTTGCTGCCATTGCAAAGGGCCCTGTGGTACCTCCCAGCTGAGACAGGAGAGGAAACAAAATGCCAGATTTCTCTTCCCACTCTTCCACTCATTCCTTGTGTGCTCAACTTCCATAACCAAGGGTGTGCCTGTTCCATGGGAGACAGGTGAGCTGCAAGACTGGCAGGGGCCAGTCAAGCTTCTCAGGGCTCCCTGGAGAAACCTGGATGGGATTTGTGTAAAGCAGATGAAGCTGGGATGTGCAGGAGGAATGGGACAGAGCAAATGTGAGTCAGGGCTGGAGGAGTGAGAGGTCACCGGTGCTGTCAGAGCTGGTGGTTGGGGTTTTGCTGGCATGAGGCTGGAATCCTGCCTTTTAACTGCTGGCTTGTGGGTTTAAAGGTTTTTGTGCTGCTTGTCAAGTGTCTGATCCCAGCCCACCGTGGTCAGTGAGGTCTCACCACTGATGTGAGGAAGATCAAGCAGGGTTAACTCTGCCTCGCTCCGTTCGAATTAGCAACGCAGTGGAAGCCAAAGGTTTGTTGGGATGATTGAACTGGGAGAGATTGTCCCTGCAGGGCCACTGGCAGCACTGAACAAACCTAGTCAGGCTTTGGGAGGAGGAGAGGATGCGGATTCCACAGCCAGGGTAAGGCAGGCAAAGGAGCCCCAGGCTGGAGACTGAGCCCGTTGCCAGGAGCCGGGATGGGAAGAGGATGCTCCTGGAAGTGTATCCATGAGGAAAATGTAGCCTTGGTAGTAATGAGGTGCAACGGCTTAATTCCAGCAGAGTCAGGAGGTGACAGTAATTAAAAGTGAAATCTCAGTCGCACCAGTGAACACGAGAGGGAAAATGGCTGATTATTAATGGGATCAAAGGCCTGGAAACACTTGTGCTCAGGCAAGAAACACAGTTTGTGAGCCTTGATGGACAAAGAAACCTGATGAAAGGCAAACAAAGCCAAGAGGAGGAGGAGAGCTGTGTGACTCTGGACATGCCTTCAGCAGAGCCATTACAGCAGGGAACTGGGGGTGTAGCACAGCACTGGATGGTCTCTGTGGGGTCTGAAAAGCAGGATTTGGCTGCTTGAGAAGCACATCTAGCAAAAATCTCATCTCATGTGGATCTGCCTGTCAGAGAAGGACACACTGATGCCCAATAATGGCTGAAGCAGCACAGTCATCTTGCCTGCTGTGAGTGCAGGCACAGGGTCTCTGTTCTGCCCAGCTGCCCCATTTTAGGAACCCCACAAACCTGATGCTCTCAGGAGCATTCCTCCTGGCCAGCAGATTGATCAGAGTCACCAACATGCCTGGATTAGAAAAAGTGAGTTACTTTAGGAAACTGAGGTTAGAAGAGAATGGGGAGGGGCAGAGACAGAGAGGGAGGGAAAGATGACAGCAGTAGAAGAAATTCTGAAGAACAAGGAAGCAAAAAGGGGTTGTGAACGGGGCGCTGCCCTGCTTGCTGCAAGGAGCAGTGGGGGGCTGGGTTTTCGTCTTCCTGCCTGAGTTTTTGTCCCCTTTTCCCCCCAGCTCTCCTCTGCCCTGCTCTTCGACGCCGTGTACGCCGTGGTGACGGCCGTGCAGGAGCTCAACCGCAGCCAGGAGATCGGGGTGAAGCCCCTGTCCTGCGGCTCTGCCCAGATCTGGCAGCACGGCACCAGCCTCATGAACTACCTGAGAATGGTGAGAGGGGGCTGGAGTGTGTGCTGCTGGGGCAGAGCTCCCCACTGCTAGCAGCAAGAGCTGTGCTGGTGGCTGGCAGTCTGTGCTATTTAGAGAGCAGATCTAAAGGCTGGTTTGTCCCTGTTGTCCCTGGCCTTGGAACGACATGAAACTCTCCCTGTTTTTGCTGCAGAAAAACTGAAACTCAGTGGATTTTTTTTTTTTTTTTTGCTAAAGTATGAATGTTTCTAAGTGGTTTGAGCCCTGTTTTCAGTGAACTTGAGTCGACATAAGATCACGCTGTACAGTTGCTCAGAGCTCAGTAGTAAGATGTGAGCTCCCCTGTGGAGGAGTTTGGGCTCCTTTTAACCAAAAGTGTGGTTGCTGGAACCAAACAAGCCTAGTTCTGGCGGGAGGACACTCTGAAATTTCATCCTGGGGTTGGCCAATATGATTCCATGACCATGCAGAAGGAGCAGGTTTCTGAGTCTGTTTGGGGGGGCAACTGAGACCAGGAAATTTCAGGAGACTTTTTTTCCCCCCCAGGGGAAAGCTCAGCTGGACCTGAGCCTTGTACCACTTCGGTGCATGCGTGTGAACCTGTTTTAAATCTCACCCTTAGTCAGAGCCAACAAAATCCTTCAGCTTCCCTTAGCTCTGGTCCTTGGAGCCCCAGTGGCTTAGCCTTGGGATGGAGGGAGGTGATGAGGGGCTGTGGAGGTGATTTAGCCCAAAGCAAAGAAACCTGGGGAACCCTGCACTTTGTTCTCCTGCTTCTGTTTCCCTCTGGACTCTGAGAGCAAGCAGGGTGGGGACACAAGGGCTGCACTGGGAGGGTGGTGGGGTGAGCCACCTCGCTGGGCGCTGTAACTCAGTCTCTCTTGGACAGGTAGAATTGGAAGGTCTCACCGGCCACATCGAATTCAACAGCAAAGGCCAGCGGTCCAACTACGCCCTGAAGATCCTGCAGCACACCCGGGCTGGGTTCCGGCAGGTAGGAGCAGACCCAGTGCCCAGGGACAATCTCTGTGTCCCCTGGTGGGGTGGTGGCTCAGGCTGCTGCTGGGGGGACCCAGGGGGGTTGCAGGGCCCCCCCTCTGCAAGGAGAGGTGCTCAGCACAGCGTGGATCAGGGTATGGATCAGGGCGTGGGTCACAGTGTGGATCAGGGTATGGATCACAGTGTGGATCAGGGCATGGGTCAGAGCATGGGTCAGGGTGTGCATCATGGCATGGATCAGGGTGTGGATCAGGGCATGGATCACAGTGTGGATCAGGGCATGGATCACAGTGTGGATCAGGGCATGGATCAGAGCATGGATCACAGTGTGGATCAGGGCTTGGATCAGGGCATGGATCACAGTGTGGATCAGGGCATGGATCACAGTGTGGATCAGGGCATGGATCACAGTGTGGATCAGGGCATGGATCAGGGCATGGATCACAGTGTGGATCAGGGCATGGATCAGGGCATGGATCACAGTGTGGATCAGGGCATGGATCACAGTGTGGATCAGGACATGGATCAGGGTGTGGGTCACGGCGGCTCTCGCCGAGCCTGACCTGCCAAACACAGCAGGTTCCTCTTTGTCAGGAGCACATCTGGGATAATTTAGATGTGTCTTCATGCATCAGGCCCCCGAGGTGGTGATGTCAGAGCCAATCTCTGTCCTGTCACAGTAACCTCCGTGTCCAGGAGGTAATTCAGGGTGTGGAGTCTGTGCCAGGTACGAGCTCACACTCGTGGCCCTTTTGTCCTTAAGCTCGTGGATACCTTGGCTCAAAATTGTTTGGAAAAACAGGAGAATTTCCCATGAAATGGGGGGAAAAAAAATGGAGGTACTCTGAACCTTTCCAAACAATTTCTGTGAGGGAAAGCAAAGGGGGCAACCCCCTATCAGGAGCTCCCCACCATCTCTCCCCTACTTGGCATGTGGGGGGAAGTTCAAGATCCTTCACCCCTTGGTTTGTGGTTCCCCTGTGACAGGTTTGCTTAGCTCAGGCTCTAATTTGCTTTCTGTCTCAGTGTTGGTCCTTTCTCTCCTCGTCACCCTCTTTCTGTCCAAGGGATGTTTCCTTGAGCCAAGGTTAAGGTGGGGTCACGGGTGTCAGACTGCTGAGATTACATGACACAAGCCCAAGGAATTAGGGTTTTACTGGTAAATCCACACTGCATTCAGGAAAAAAATAAATATAGAAGTCCCAGAAAAAGAGGTTTTATCTTATTTCCCTGCTGACAACTCCACTGCTGCCCTTTTCTCAGAGACTGCCACTTCTCTTAGATTTTGGCAGAGAACAAAAGCTATTGTATCTTACCCTCACCAACAGAGCTTTTTGGCATTGGGAAGTCTCCCCTGGTCTGGCAGCACTGAATTTCAGCCTTGGCAAGGATGTTACCTGCCAGTTCTTACCTGTCAAGTGACAGCTTGGCTTTGATGCTGCCTTTTGCTGTGTGAGAGGGGGATCAGGATGGCATTTTCCCCACAGTGAGATCTCTCATGGCATCAATGCCCTTTTAATCCTGTCCCAAGCCCATCATCCTCTGAACAAAAGTGACAGATCCAAGCCCATCTGTGTTAATAAGGACATGCATTCAGCTGGATTGGGGAAGAAAACGCTGCAGACCTCCCTGTGACAGCTTTGGTTTTGATGTGTTTAAATGTGGCAGGGACTTCACAGGAAAGGCACAGGTCCTCTTGGAGCAGAGCCTCTCCCAGAGCTCCACGGAGAGCTCTGACTGCAGCCTAATCTGCCCTGGGACTAAAGGCTCAGCTCTTCCCCACAAACCTGGTCTGACAGGAGGAAACCTTTCCTGACCTCTGTGAACGAGGAGCTTCGTGTTTCCAAGGTGCCCAGGAAAGCTGTGCTGGGATTAACCTTCCCAAATTTCCCATCAGGGTGCAGTGGTGATGTATCACTGCCAGTCACAGTAAAAAGGTGCTGGAAGGACAGGGCAGTCCCTTGGTGGTGGCTGTGAACCCTCTCCTGTCACAAACCCACCAGCAAAGAGCTGGTTTTTTGTAAACCTGCTCGGAATGCCTGTGGCAGCCTTTCCTCCTTCTCCTCTCCCCTTCTCAGGGCTCTTACCTGACCAACAGCAGTGCCTGGAGGGGTGTCAGGGCTCCCTCACAGCCTGAAACAGGGCTGTGTTTAATTGGGAAGGGCGTCCTCAGGGAGCTGTGGAACCTGGCAGGCTCCTGCCTGACCTCCCACCCCTCCAGGTCCCTGCAAAGGGAAGGCAGAGGCCACTCTGCTGGGCCACAGGTGGTTATTTTCTCATTGCCAGCCTGGCTTCCTGTAATAAAAAGGGCTAAATAAATCATTAGAAATAATTTAATTAAAGGAACTGGCTAAAGAACAGGTGTTCACATCCTGGAGACAACGTTGTTCCCAAGGGTTGCATTAACTGATTTGCTCAGGCTCTTGTTTGAAACACTTCTATTCCCTCCTTAGTTTTAATCAACCCCATGCTCTCTGCCCATTCCCCTCTTCCTCTCCTTCCCTCTTTCTCTTTTCTCCTCTCTCTCCTTCCATCTTTTGAAGCCACAGGGACTTCCAGCTCATCAGCTTTGACAGAGAGTTCACCAAATTTTGAAGCTGGTCCAGCCAGCGAACAAATTAGAGACACTTAAGACTTTCTAACTTGCTGTTGCTTTTGGGCAAGGAGAGGCAGGGCTTTTTGACATCCAATTTTTAATACATTTATGTAACGCACCAAACGTGTCTTTTTCCTGATTTAGCTTAACTAGAGGGATTTTTTTTTATTTCCCGCAGCCATATGAGAGCTGCTCCCCGTTCACAGGATGCTCGATAAAGCACAGGCTCATTAATGTGCTGGTGATCTATGGATCTGACAAGGGCTGAGTTTGTAAATGTCAGCTTTTTTTATTTTTTTTTATTTTTTTTTTTGCCTCTCTTTGCCCCTTTTGAACAGCATTGCAGCACACCCCTGTGGGTTCAGAGGAGTGCTTGGCAGTAAAGCACGAGCTGAGGTTTGGCAGCTCAGCACGAGAAGGGGCTGAAGGAGGGCTGTGATTTAGGAAGGGAAGGGGCAGAGGAGGGGCAGGGGGAGCTGTGGTGGGGCTGGAGCCCTGGGCACACTGACCCCAGCTCTGCCTGGCCCTAAGTGAGGCAGATTAGTCTCTATTTAACTAAAGGCTCTGCTGGTGTCCTGAGACAGAGCAGTGGAGTGATGGGGCTGTTTAATTGGTATGTTGATGAGATACAGATGAGTTCCCAGTGATAGCTCTGAGACCCTCAGCAATCCCTGCTGCATCAAACCTCTTTAACTTGGAAGAGGCTAATCAGCCTCGATGGGACTTGTTCCTCCTTAGCTGTTACCCCCAGCAAGGGCTCAGGGACAGATCCTGCCAAGAGCTGAATGGCTTTTGCCCCCCAGGACCTGACAAACTCGGACATGCCACTGTCAGGCCCTGTCTGGGCTATGCCAAGTGTCCATTGTGTCCAGAGGGGACACCTGGGGAGGAAGGGGATCGTGGGGGTTGCTGCATGACCTCAGGGAGGGTTGTGTGAGTGTCTTGTGGTTGTTCAGGTTTTAACAGCTGCTGCTTTCAGTGCCCTTTCCTAAATTCAGTGGAGGAAGCTTTTGCCTGCCTGCTGTGCTGGCATCAGCCTGGCAGTGATGTCCTTCAGGAGTGCCAACCCCACGGCAGACCTGTCCTCTGAGGGCTTTCCCTCATTTGTTTGTTTTATTCCCTTTTTTTGCCCCCAGGCACTCCTAAATTCCCTCTCCTTGGGGCACCTTGATGAGGGATGATTGCACTCTGCACTCCTCCCTTTTCCTGGGGACATTGTGAAGGATGCAAGCTGTAGGACAGCACTTGCTAATCAGAGCCCAGAAGGTGTCTGGGTTTATTGCACTCCCCTGCCTGTTCCAAGACCTGTATTCAGGCCTGGCTTTACCTTAATTTTAAGCTGGGAATGGGGTTGGGAAGTACCTGTGGTGCCTCTGAGGCTTATGGAGAAGTCTTGCTATGTCACCTCTCCCTGCCACCAGCTGCCTAGATAACACTGAGCAGAAGATTTTATTAAAATCACGAGTTGGAGTGGTATTCCATCCTCTCACACCATGAGGAGCCTCAAAGCCTCTGCATGGAGGGGCTGCAGGGTGGAAGGAGCAGCCAGGACTGCCCCCCTGCATGGTGTCTGCTGCCAGGGATTTTATGGGGAGATGAGAAATCTTTGGGTGCCACTGATCCAAATAACACCCTTTGCAGAGCAGCTGAACTGAGGGACCTTGCCTGCCCGTGGGGATGGAGCAGTGGCACGAGAAATGGCACTTCCTTGCTTACCCCTGGCTTGAGGCTTTCTGGGCTGGCTCCCACTGAAACTGTGTGTTTGCTGACCTGCTTTAACAAGGACAGGCAGCAAGGCAGACCTGCCTCGAGGGGTCTGCAGGTGCTGCAGGCAGGACTTGATCTTCTTTGGTCAAGAGGGAGGCACTGGGATGTGCAGAGATGATGCAGTGGGACCACACAGCCCTGAGGGCATGGAGGGGACCTTCTCCATCCAGACCTGTCACCTGTCACAGGTGGTAGAATCCCTCTCACAAAGGCATCATCAAGCTCCAACTTGCACCCAGGTGACTGTGTTGCTCTTGCTGCCCTCCTAGGACAGGTATGACACCATTTCAGCTCCTCTGATCATTAGGAACACTCCTCCAGTTTTCAGGCTGTTTATTCCTGGCTGGTTTATGTCTGTTTATTTTTGTGCCAATGCCATCATTTCAGCTTCAAAAGCTGTTCTACCTCTTTGCTACGGGCCTCCTCCACCTGGTGTATTTATACAGACCAATCATATCCACCACTAAAAAACCCCCAGTCCTAAAAACTCAGAAGTCCTTGTCCAGAGCCTTAACAACAGGATGGTCTTATCCACGTCCACGTGGAGGATTTGATTGTTTTCCAGCCCATTTTGCAGATGGATATGTTTTCTGTTTTTCAGAGGCTCTTTATATGTAGATGGAGGTGATTAAAATCACCTTGACATCCATCTTGCAGGAAAGGGAGGGATGTGAGGATCCCAGACATCCTCTGACATGTTGCACTTTGGAAACAAGTGGTGTGGGGAGTCAATTGGTGGCTCTGTCAGCCTGTGAGGGGGACAGTGGTGAGCTGAGTCCCCCCAGGATTTGGGGGGAGGTACCCTGGCACGTGGGAGAGTGTGGCTTTGGTGCTGTGTGAAAAGCAAGGTCAAACCCACAGCACTGTCAGAGGAGGAGGCAGGCAATTAGTCTCAGCGTGTGCCAGCAGGGGAGGGACAAATTGGAGAACAGCGAGGGCTGTTAAAATTAAAGTTAATCTGTCACTAATCTCTGGTTGTGAGATCCAGGAAGGGAAAAAAAATGAGGCAATGTTTGTGAGTGATGACTCTCCCTGGGAGGAAATGGCTGCAGAGGGGCTGCTCCTCAGCAATCCCAGCGAGGGGAGAGACCTCTGTGCTGGGCTGGGGTGGATCCATCCCAGCCCATCCATGCACACCCTGTGCAGGCCAGCTAAGGCTGTGCTTTAAGGACCCCTTCCTGTGAAATACCAGGTAAATCTCCCAGTTTGAGGCTGTTGTTCCCCAGCAGAGGTGAGTCCTGCATGGCAGTGTCACCGTGGGGCTGCGAGCATGGTGGTAAAGTCACAAGCAGCTGTCAACAGGGTGCCCAAAATTTGCACCCAGCCTGCTCCAACACACCATCCCTGTGGCTCCATCTCCTTGTTTGCCAGATGACACTGGTGACCTCCCCAATGCCTCTCCTGTTAGTGGGGAGCCTCCAAGAGGAAGTGCTTCCTAGACATTTGACTTCCCTGCCTGCTCCTTCTCCCCAGGGCAGTGGTCACAGTCTGACAGAGCTCAAGGAGCATTTGGACAGCGCTCTCAGGCACATGAGGGGATTCTTGAGGGTGTTCTGTGCAGGGTCAGGAGCTGGATTTGATGATCTTGTGCCCTCAGACTCAGAATATTCTGTGTGATTCTGTGACTCTGAGTGTAAGCTGTCCTGCTTGCACTTCCCACTGCTTCTTGTGCCTTGAGGTGAGGAAGCTGAATTAGGGACATCCCACACGTTGTAATAATGGCTTGTTGGTCACTTGGGCTGGATTTGCACCAACAGCTGGGAGAGGAAAGGACTTGGCCACTGCCTGCCCATCCAGAGGATCCGGTGTGTGCACAGCAGGGCTGCGGTGTCAGGTTGTGTTGGGCTCAGATCCACGAGCTGGGAAGTGACTCCAAAGCCCTGGAGCCGTCAGTCACAGCAGAGGCAGAGCACTGCCAGGAGCAGGGGCTGGCTGCACGGAGTCAATCCCAGGGCAGAGGAAATCCGTGGGTATCCCACCCGCCTCCTTGGACACAACAAGATCAGTCTGTGACGGAACAGGAATCCATTTGTTCCTGCCACCCTGACAGCCATGGCACAGCCAGAGGATAACCTGCCTCGTGGCAGCACGAGGGAGCTGGGAATGGGTTTGTTCTGGCTGTGGAAGAGCTGGGAAGGCTCCCCTGCTTGTTGGGGTCACCCGCTGCCTCTCAGGGGCACAACACCTCACTTCAGAGGTGTCTGAGGACAACAGTCGTGCAGGGGGCTTGGACTGATGGGGACAGAGAGGAGAAACAGGAGGGAGAAGTGGTCTCAGAGGGAGCTGGCCTCCCCCAGCCACCCCTCTATCCATGAGGAAAAGCAGAGGCTCCTTTAGCCAGAGTCTGATTTGCATGCTGGAGGTGCTGATCTCCCTGCCCAGAGCTCTGAGGGAGGGAGATTAGGCTCTTGAAGTTAAAATTAGGTTCTGTTGAATATTCCTCTCCCCTGGCTGAAGGCAGCAGGATGGTTCTGTTGCGTCACAGCTGAATCACAGCGTCCTCCCAAGCACTGGGGGACTGGTCCCTGCCATCCGTGGTGGGAATTGGGCTTTGCTGCAGTGACACTGATGCTTGGATGGGTAAATCAGAGCTGTTGGGTGTGATGAGCCCGGATCAAAGCTTGGAGGTGCTTAATTGGAGTAGCTGGCATCCACTGCAGCAGCAAGAGGAGATGAGTCATGGAGCAGCACCACTGAGGACGTGCCTTCCTTCCACCATCTGCCCCCAAGGTGGAGGGCAGAGCCTCCAAAACCACGCTGGCAGGGACAAGCTTGGAGGTTTGGCTGTCTTGGGCACTGCTGGGTAAGACTGACCCACCTTGGTGGCGTTCTGGGGCCAGCACACCGGGCTGTTGGACCACCACGAGCCCCAGGGAGCTGCTGCAGGGAGGACGTGTGAGAAGGCAGCTCCTGCCCTGAGCAGGGACAGGTTTTTGGCACTGCAGAGCAGGTGGGGGGTGCACCAGAGGGTTAATGTCTCTGCTGACCTGTTGTGGGGGTGCCTTGTAAAGGTAATGGAGCATCCACAGGCAGGCCAGCCCGATGGCTGTCACTCACCAGAGCCATATGGTGGGTTCTGTGCAGTAACTCGCCCTATAAATTCCCTTATTGTGCTGTTTATCCCTCCAGATTGGCCACTGGCACGTGTCTGAAGGACTCAGCATGGACAACAGGATCTTCTCCTCCAACATATCAGACAGTCTGTTCAACACCACGCTCATTGTCACCACCATCCTGGTAAGTGAGGGGGTCACCTGCAGTTCCCACTGGCTCCCAACTCACAGGGGTGTCGATCAGCTGGAATATCCCTCCCTCTCCCTGCCCCCCTGGACCCCCAGCATGAGGCACTGCATGCTGATTCCATCCAGAGCAGGCCATCAAATCTCTAATTACGGCACTGAGGACAATTCATGACAGTGTAATTAAACTCAAGTCAATGTTTCATATGGAAATGATATTTGATGAGTTCAGAAGCAGCTGGGGAGAGGGCTGGGATGGGGATACGTTGCCATTTTACATTCATCTCTGAATGATGGTCTTGTTTTGAGTACAGCTGGTAAGTTGGAAGGGACAATTGTCCCTTCAACCCATAAAATTATAAAAATTGGCCAAGATGGGCTCAATTTTGATGAAGACTTCACATTTACAGGCACCACCTTATTCAACGGGTTTCCCCTTCCGGGTGCTACCTGTCCAGTGATTTTTTTTTTTTTTCAATGCCTCTGCTCCTTCCTTAAAGACACCCAAAATCCTATTTCCTCATGTCCCACAAAGTTTGAAAGGGGGGGCAGGCTGGAGAAGTGGCTCTTTGCCAAGAGAAGCTGAGTCTGTGTGTCCTGCTGTGACTCAGAGCAGTCACTGGGCTGCTCTGGGCATGTCCCAGTTGGAAGCAGCCCCCAGAGCGTGATCCCTTATCCTAAACTGGGATAAATCCACGCAGCAGAGCCCAGTGTGGAAACAGCCCTGATGGCTTTACACCCCCTGCACCCAGCTTTCCATATCAATTATATCCATACTGGCATGGTGTGCCCCTTCTACTGGGGTTGGATCTTTAAGGCCACTTCCAACCCAGACCATCCCACGACTCCACGAGTCCCTGCCACCCTGGCACTGCCCTCCCCTCTCCGTGCTGGCTAAGATGGGAATGACAGCTGCCCAGTTTCACTGCAGGAAAACCCTTACTTAATGCTGAAGTGGAACCACCAGGAGCTGGAAGGCAACGACCGCTACGAGGGCTTCTGCGTGGACATGCTGAAGGAGCTGGCCGAGATCCTGCGCTTCAACTACAAGATCCACCTCGTTGGGGACGGGGTTTATGGTGTCCCCGAGGCCAATGGCACGTGGACAGGGATGGTGGGCGAGCTCATTGCCCGGGTAAGTGAATTAACTCTGCTCTTTTTAACTCTGCCCTGCCAGGACCTGGCGAACGCAGAGCCCTGATGGGGTTTTTTTTTAAGTGCTCCAGGAGGAGAAGGACTGAGTGGGGGGTGTTTTAGTCCATTTGTGAGGCTTTGAAGGGTGTGTTCTCCCAGTGGCAGATGGGTTTGTTGTGGTGGCGTGACAGCAAGAGCAGGAGCAGCAGGGCCCCAAGTGGGTGCTCCCAGTGGGTGCTCACTCTGCTGGAAAAGACACCTGAACTCTGGGATCCTGCGTAAGAACTCGTTAGAGAGTGGATTAGTTTTTCTTGGTGGAAAGATGAATGAAAGCTTGCAACAGAAAAACACACAGGGCTTGGTATGAACTGGAAAAAAACCCTCACAAAACCAGAATGTTTGGGAGGGAAGCAAGTAAGAATCACATTTCTACCCAGAAAAGTTTTGGGAGATTCAATTCAGCTTCTTAACTCTGAGTTTTTTGTTTGTTTGGGTTGTTTTTTTTTTGGAGAAGAACACTTTCTGTTTGCTTGAAGCACGTGGATTGAGGTCTTTTCGCTGCTGTGCTCTGTGGTGCTGCTGCCCAGCAATAAAGCTGGGTGCTTTTTACTGGGTTTGACCATAATTCTGTGTACACTTGTGCCCATTCAGCCTCTACCCCCCGTCCCTGCTCTTTGTTTTCCTCAGCAGCTGAAGGCAGCCCTGCCCCAGGGTTCCTGGAGCTTAAATACAGCTCACAAAATGCTCTGAGATCCTTAGTAAAATAGGCTCAGCCAAAGCTAACAGTAAGATTGATGCTGTTTAAGCCAACTTTTCCTTACTCACTTATTTCTACCCTGTCTCATCATTACCAAAGCTGCGAGAACCCAGCCACACTTTCTCAGCTGGTGGCAAATCCTCAGTGTGTCTGTGATAATCCCACCACTGTGGGAGAGGAGATCTTGAGTCCCTCCATCATTTACCTCCTGCAGAGCAGAGGAACAAGGGCCCAAATCCATCCCCTGTGGCTCCAGACAGGGATCTGAGGCTCCTGCCACAGCTTTCCTCCCAGCTATAGGGGATGAGTGAACATCAATTTATTGATTTATTGGGTGGTGTTTGGTTGAAGGTTGGAGTTGAGGATCTTGGAGGTCTTTTTCAACCCTTAATGGTTATGGAATCATCATCTAGAAGATGCCCAGTGGCCTCTCTCTGCTTCTTCCCCACATGGCAAAGGGGACCCGGCTGATGCTCATCCTGCCAGAGGAGTTTGAGTGCCTCAGGTCAGGTGGGACAACTCTTAAGCCTGAAAGAGGGATTTTGGGATTTGCTGAGGGTCAGAGACAGGTCATGGAGCAGACTGCAGATTCTCCTGAGCCGGCTCCTGTCTCCTGGGTCGCCCTTTCCCAGCGGAGCGATGGTTCCCGACGCCAGCTGAGATCCCACCTCCATCTGCTCTTTCAGCAGAGCCTTCTGCACGGCTGTTTGCAAATGCTCCAGGCTATTGGCACAGCTTTCCCCCATCTTTCTCTGCCTGTGTATGTACATGCACACACAATTACCCTCGTGCAGCATTCCTGGCGGGAGGCAGGAGGGAAGGCGCCGAGAGCAGCGAGTGATCTGTGCAGACAAAGGAAGGGAACAGCCACCAGACTTTTGGCCTACTAACCCTGGCAGTGCCTCCCCGTTAAATGGGAGCTTCTGGAGGCTCGTTTTTCTTTGGTGGTAGGTGCTTTAACTTCATCTCCTCGCGGAAACCGTTTGTTTCTTCTGCAGCTCGAGCCTTATTTAGGAGGATTTTTACTTCTTGCTTCAGCAAGGCAGAGCTGGCGAAGCCTGTGAGGCTGAATCACAAGTTGGAGAAGAGAAGCAGCTTTCTCTGCTTTGTTCTTGCTGTGTCCCCAAGAGTCTTTATAGTGGTTTCAGCAAGTTTTTGATCAGTCCCAGGGACTGGCACTTTGGATCAGGTCAGCCAGGGCAGAGCTGGCTGCGTGCTTGGTGTTGTGTTTGCTCAGGGCTGCTTGGGACGTGGTTTTCTGAGGGCATTGCACTGTCCAAGGGGTTCCTCTCTGTCCTTGACATCCCCCAGAGGAGTTTTCCCTCGCTTCCAGCCCCTTGTTCATCCCTTATCCCATGGGATCCAGCAGATCCTGTGTTAGGGGCACACATTCCTCTTTTGGTGGGTCTAACCCTTGGACACTCTTCTCCATCCAACCTTTAGCACAGAGAAGGCATCAGCTGCAACACAAACCTACCACAGGGGTCCCAAATCTTACCCAAAATGAAAGCTCTGCACCTGCCTCTGTGCAGCACAATATTATTGTAGGCAAGTGGTTCCTCCTTTGCCCTGATCAACCGTCAGAAAATAAGGTTTGACTCACACACACTTAATGTGCAGGACCAAAAGGTCAGAGAATTATCCAGCTCCATGCAGTGCCTTTCCTGTAATCCCCCTGTGGCACTGAATCTCCTCAGAGCAACTCTGGGCTGTATGGGAAAAGTGTTTCATTTTATTGCTTCTAAATTAACCAGCTATTGATTTATTCTTAAGAGCTGAAAATTCCATTACAGCTAATTGTGCACCATGATATGATTGAGCAGGATGCCACATAAACATAAATTTGTGCTTGACCCAAATTTTCCAGTACATATCTTATCGACCTGCTCGCAGAACAAATGGAGGGGGAAGGAAGAGGGGGATTGGGGTGGCTTGGGAAGAGCTGTAGAGACACCTCTGTCTGTGTCAGCAGCCTGACCTGTCATCAGAGCAGGAATCCTGTACTCTTTGGGATCAGCTGCTGGAGGTTTGGCTTGGGAGAAATCACTTGGAAGGACTCATAGAATCACAGGGTGGTTTGGGTCAGAAGGAACCTTAAAGATCATCTCATTCCACCCCCTGCCATGGGCAGGGACATCCTCCCCTATCCCAGGTTGCTCCAAGCCCCCTCCAACCTGGCCTTGGACACTTCCAGGGATCCAGGGGCAGCCACAGCTTCTCTGGACAACCTGTGCCAGGGCCTGCCCACCCTCCCAGGGAAGAATTTCTTCCCAATATCCCATCTAAACCTACTCTCTGTCACTTTGAAGCCGTTCCCCTTCGTCCTCTCACTACAGTTCCTAATGAAGAGTCCTTTGAGCTCATTCTTTTGTGAAAGATGTCCCAAACTCAGAAGACACCGGGCTAATTTGCCCCTCTGAGCACGCAGGGCAGGCAGATTGAGCACCTAGCTCCTCCCTGGAGGAGCAGGGCAGTGAAGCTGCTCTCCCCCGTCAGCATTCCCAGCTCTGGCACAGCCTGTGGTCTCCAGCAGTTCAGCTGACACTGCACACGTGTGCTGCCCACAGCAAACAAGCAAGGGGCAGCAGCAAATCTTCCCATCTCCTATTTTTTGGCATCAGAGCCCTGGGGGACAATTGGGCTGGAAGAATTATGTCTGGCTCCTTCCCGCTGCAGTGCAGGCTCTGGCTCACAGTCCCTGCTGGTTGTCTTTGCTCTTGCCTTTCTCTCCCTCTCTCCCCAGCACATCCTCGAGCTGAAATGAATTCCCTGGCATGATACAGACCAAGGAATGTATTTTCACAGCAGTGTGACAGCCTTCTCCTTGTTCCACAAAGCCTGCAGTTGCTGTCCTGGCAGCTCAGTGCCTCACAGTGCCTTGGTGCTCGTCTCCCTTCCTCCTCCACATGGAATTGTGTCTGTTTGGGGGATCCCTCAGCAGCACTTCCTGAATTTACCCATTGCAGGAACACCCTGGGGTGTAGAGGGGAGCTAATGGGAGATTGGGTTTGATTTGTTGGCAGGATTTGATGCTGCAGTTTTGATAAAAGACCTCCCCAAAACCCTCCCTCTGATGCAGCCTGGGTACCTCTGGCTGGCTGTTTTTTTTTCCAGGAGGTGACAGTCCCCTGTCCTGCTCACCTGTGGCAGGATGGCTGGGGTGGAAGGGACTGGTGTGTGCTTTGTGCAGCCTCTAACAGCTGCCCAGGCTTCCTTCAGCACTGTTTAGTAACAAATCACCTTTGGTGATGCCAACACAGCAGATCCAGGAGTGTTTCCAGGGCAGGTGTATTTGGGTGAGGCTGGTGCTGGTGTAGGAGGCATCTAAAGGTCCTGTGACTGTGCAGGATCATTTGGGGAGTGAGATGATGTGGAATAATGCTGGACCTTTGATGTGTGTCAGTGGTTTGAGTGTGTCCTGGCTCAGTGATGATCAGAGCTCTTTTCCAAGTGAGGGGAGATGAAGTTGTCCATCTCCTGGAAGGGTCTGGCCTCAGGACCAGCAACACCCAGAACTGAAAGGACCTTAAAGCTTTGTGGTGATGGTTTTCCACCTTCCTTACTGGTGGCCAGGTGGTACTTTCCCTTCAACTGCTCCGAAGAGATGGCAGGAAGGGGAAAGGAGGGAGAAGATGCTTGAAAACTGGCAGAGTCCTGCTCTCCTCTCTCAGTGGGTGTTGGTGCTCAGTGAGAAAAGCTGTGTGTGGGTGGAGGGAGGGAGGGGGAGTCTGTTTGCATGCTGTCTGTGCTGGCAAGTGTGCCATGGGGGGGCTCAGGGGGTGGGGGAGCGAGGAGGGGTGTGGGGGTTGTTGTGCAAACACGGCCAGGGACGGGCAGAGGGGTTTGCATCGAGCTGCTGGTGCTGCCAAAATCACCCCCAACACGGGGAGCGTGGGCTGGGCTGGACTGGGCTCACTGCATTCTTTGGGTTCCCCATTCCTGGGGCTTCACTTTGACTGGCCTTTGCCATGGGCACAGAGAACTCCTGGCACACACTTTGTCCTGCCATCCATGGATAGTCCAGGTGAAGGAGGATGGGTGAGGGCAGACCTGAGGCTGACATCTGCCCTGGTTACTGGTCATCCCACCCTGACTGTGGCTTAAAGGGAGGGCTGCAGCCTCCAGGGTTCTCAGGCTGTCACTTTTCACATGGCAGAATTCCTGTATGTCCTTAAAAAAAAAAACCCAAACACTGATTTGGGGTGACCCTCAGTTAAAGGCCCTGCCTTTAAATGCAAGAATGTGCATCTGAGCAGACAACCTGGGTGCTGCTCAACCTGAAATAGCTGCTGTCAGGTCAGGTGGGCAGCTGGAGCAGGAGCAGCCAGCACACTGATCCCCTGGCAGAGCTGTGCCTGTCGTGCCATGGGACAGATCTGCAGATGCACTGCACTGCTCTGCCAGTGCTGCAGAGATGCAGGTGAGCAGGATGCAGCCAAACTGCCCTGCAGGGGCTGCTGCTGGTGTCAGGGTCACATGGAATAGCAGGGAACCTCTGGAGGTCACCCTGCACAGAGCAGGGTCGCCTCCAGCCAGGTGCTCACCCTGCATCCCAACAGGTTTCCAGCGGGACAGGCGCCAGCACTGGGTCTGCAGGGGGGTAATACCTGGTGGCTGGGTGGGTCTGGAGGTTGAACAGCTATTTCACCTTTCTAGAAAGCTCTTCAGGCCCACAGAGAGCTCTCCCTGCCCTTGGCCACGCCGTCAGTGCTCTGTGGGCAGCGCTGGGGAGAAGATGCTGCCACGAGCACCCAGGGGATGGAGCTTCCAAGGTGCTGTTCCAAGCACTGGAAGGGATCCCAGCCCTGTCCTCCTCCTGGCTTGTTTTCCGTGAGTTTGACACAGGCACAGCCCAAAGCCTCGCCCCACTCAGACTTCCTCGCCGTGTTTTGTCTCCGCAGCCTGGCAGAGGGTGGTGAGGCGCTGTGGGGCCGGGGCAGGGCTGTTCTCCCGGCTGCTGTCCCATGCCGTGGGAGGCTCTGGAGGGATCCTCTCCTGCCGGGCTGACGTCAAGCCCCATTCATCACCATTAGCGCCGGGCTGAGCCCTGTCAGCGCCCGCGGCGAGGAGGCGGATGCCGCCCCTGGACTGGCAGTCCCTGCAATTTGCTTCTTAAGGCTCCTTAATTGTTGTTCCTCCGCGGGAGCCGGCTCAGCCCCCGTGTTTAACCGGTGGCAGCCAGAGCCTGTGTGCTGATGCAGGCAGAGCCCACGGGAATGCTAGGTTTGGTGCTGGTGTGGCAGCTTTTATCTCACACACCAGCCCGCCCCACCCGGGCTACCTCTCGCCTGGTGAGAGTCTGGCCGTGCTTTAGTGGTGCTTTGTTAAAAGAAGTGTCTGTGTCTGCTCCCAAAATGCTCTGGGTCTTTTTCTAAGCCTATTTCATGCTGACATTTATAGCTGCAACTGGGCTGGGAGGACGAAAACCCCTTCTTCCCCCCATCCTTTTCCTCCTTTCCCCCGAGCCCAAATGTGGACAAGAGTGCAAGAAGCACAAGGCAAAATCCATCTCTTTGCTTAGCCCTTAAAATTCCAACTCCTGCCCGTGCTCAGAGGGGGGAGGCTGGCGGGTGCTGAGGTTTGCAGAGCTCCTCTGTAGCTCAGTGAATCACAAGAAGTTTTGTGAACACGGGGAAGCAAAGTTGAAAGCATGAAATGGGTGATACTCAGGCAGAGAATTCTTTGCGTGCCATTCCCAGATCAAAGCTTCTCCATGTCAGGAATCAGCTCCTAACTTGCATGACTCTGAGCCTGCAGAGAGAGAGAGAGAGAGGCTCTGACAGATAAAGCCACGAGGAGCTGGGTCTCTGCTGCACAGAAGGTGCAGCTCGGGAGAAGGGAGATGGAGCTGGGCACAGGTTGGAGCAGGTGCTGCACCTCTGATGTGGCAAAACTGCTGAAATGACAAAGGTCCCTTCAAACTCAGGATATTCTGTGATTCTACATGTTCTGAAAGGGTCTCAAAGGATGACAGCTGGGAGAATAATCAGAGTTTTTTGTAATTACCAAGTTCACTGATGGCATCCTGAGCTGGGTAAATCTGGGGACAGTGTTGCTCCTCTCATCACCACCTTTGTGTTGGCCCTTGGATGGGAGTAGAAATGTCCTCAGAGCTTTGGCATGAAATACCTTTGACGTGGCTTATTTACCATCCCTTTAGTGTGGGGCTTTGCTGCTAGAATTGTGTTTACTTTGGAGAGCTGGCAGAAGAAATCCATTGTCAGACTAAGCTGGATCTTCAGCAGGGGCTTTGCTGGGAGAGCTCTCCCCAGGACAATAGTACCTGCAAACCCTTTTAAGTAGAGACAAGAGAGGTTTAGGAAGCTTTAGGCTTTCCTTGTAGATAAAATTCTTCACATGCCACGTTGCACAGATGAACTGATCCCATTTTAGTAATCTGCTGGTGTTTACACAGGGCTCAACCGCTCACACACCACGTTGTGATTATTGGTGTCTTTTAAAAAGCCTGTGGGTAAATGTCTGGCTAGGCAGAAATTCTCCTTAGCTCATAATTCATCCCAGCCTGAACCTCTTAGGAATCTGTAATAGCTGCTTGGAAACAAGTGCAAAAATCTGGCACTGAGCATGTCCAATAAAACACTCCTACCTGGACTGTCACCTTCTCCATGACCCCCTTCACTGGGATTGAGGATCACCTTGACTTTCTTTTCCCTCTCCTCCATCCTGCTGCCTCCAGCACTGCTGCTCTTCCCTCTTACAACTCCAGCCTTTCCCAGGACCATCAGCAGGCCTGATGGTGCCTTGGCTTCTGCACAGACCTTGTCAAATTTAGGGACAACAGGTGCAAACAGCTTTTCTTTCCCCCTCCCTTCTTCCACGTGCATAATCATCTTCCTGCAAAGCAGTCAAGCAAATGGATAAGGGACTGGAGGAGGTTTCATTTTTACAGAAAGCAATTACAGACCTTAAAAGAGCTAAAGTAATAAAAATAATATTTAAAATTCAAATCCCTTATCTATATTACAAGGGTATTAACACGGGAAGGAATTATTTTTATTTTTTTCCTTCCCCCTAATCTCATTTGCTTTGCAAGTCAATCTGCAAACTTTAATGCCAGTCCTCTGAATTTTTTTTGGAGGCTGATCTGCCGTTTGGGAAGTCTGGGGGTGGCAGGTTTGTGAACTTCATGACTCAGGGGATGTGGGTAACAATTCTGCTTTTCTTTCTTACCTGTGCCACTTGCAAGGGGCAAGGAAGGGCCAGCTGTGCTCAGCAGGGGCTTGGGAAGGGGGAGGTTGTATCTTCTGTAGATAAACACGACATTTATTGTTCTGATGGCCCCTGTTTTGCCAGGTTTTACAGCATTAAATGAATAGAGATGGCAGTGAGGCCGAGAGCAGGGGCTGCTGTTGTGTTTGCTGTCAGCACAGTGGGGTCCCCACAGGGAGCCTGTGAGTGCAGAGAGAAAAACATCCAGATGAGGAAGGGAAAAAGGGGGAGAATGGTCTTGTAGCATCCATGAAACCCTGGAGTGTGTTTGAGCAGGGCTTGTGTGAAAGCCACCCAGGGAGAGGGATGTGCGAGCCCAGCCTGAACCAGCACCAGCAAAACATCCTCGTTTTGGGATGGCCCAGAAAGGTGGGACATGCCCCCTCCAGGGGCAGATGTCCTGTGTGTGGCCCCAGGGGTGGCTTTGCTGCTTTCTCAGGCTCAGGGCCCTGACCTTCTCCGTTCTCCTCTCTCTCCAGAAGGCTGACTTGGCTGTGGCAGGGCTGACGATCACGGCGGAGAGGGAGAAGGTGATTGATTTCTCTAAGCCCTTCATGACTCTGGGAATTAGCATTCTCTACAGAGTTCATATGGTAAGAGACTTACTTTATAACCATTTATGTCCCTCCATTATTTGCATGCAAACGTGCCTGGTTGTAGAAGGAAAATGAACGACTCATAAAAATATTTGGGTTTCATATTTAAACGGAAATTGGCTTGACCTTCATTTCCTTCTGTGTGTGTCAGCTTGGTGGATTCGATTCCTGCTCAAAACCCCTGCCCTTTGGCTCCTCTTCCCCATCCTCCCTGGGCACAAGATGCTTTTTTTGGGGTCACAGGGTGGCTTTATTTTGGCTTTGAGCCTGCTGGGTGTGATGTGCTGAGCACCCTTAATGCTGCACTGGAGTTTTAAAATCATGGAATCACAAACTGGTTTGGGTTGGAAGGACCTTAAAAACCACCCAGTTCCATGCCCTGCCATGGGCAGAGACACCTTCCACTAGCCCAGGTTGCTCCAAGCCCCATCTAACCTGCCCTTGGACACTTCCAGGGATGGGGCAAACATTTTCTCTGGAACAAAAGCAGTTTTTTCAGCATCTCTCTGGTTGCCTCTCCACTGCATTCAATGATTTTCAGCAGCTCCAGCAGCAGCAGCAGTGGTGTGGTTTTCCACTATCCCAAAAAGCAGGTCAGGCATCACATTTAGCAGCTTTGGAGCCAAACAGGTGGGAATGTGCCCAGGGGGTTTATGTTGTGTCACTGCTTTGCTCAGACAACACTTGTTGTCTTACATTCCCATAGATTCCCTCTTATTTGCATCCTCCACTGCTTTATCTTCTCCCTGAAGCTCAGGAGAGGACAGATTTTCCCCTGCTACTCCCATATGGGAGCCCCCAGTTTTTCCATTGTCACAGGCTCTGGCAGCCAGGCCCTGTGCAACAGGATGTCTTGTCATTCCCAATCTGCATTTTGGAAATGTTTGTGCTTTGCACAGTGTCGAGTGTGATGCAAATGGCAGTGGCTTGGTCTCTGTCAGCTCAACAATAGCAGCCAAAAGGATAAAACCACTCAAGCTGCCTCTGCCAGCCCCCTCTCCACCCGGGAGGCTGCTCAGGATGCAGCGTTGGGGAGGAACAGAAGCAAATTCATGCATCTATCTCTTGTGCTGAGTGGCTCCTGCCAAGAGCAAACAAGTAATTAAAATCTAGTTAAAATTCTGTTTCCTCTGGTACGTGCAGAATTTAGGATCGATGACTTAACTGATCAAACAAAAAATAAAAAAAGGGACTGACTCTTCAAGCTCCTGGAAATCAGATGTCATCGTCCCCTCCTCACTGCAGTTGGTTGGTCACACCACCAGCTTCCCTGTGGATCTGGGAGGTGTTTCTGCCAGTGCCTCTGGGATTATTATCGAGTTTGGGGATTGAGTTCTGTGCTATTTTAGGAAGGAAATCCTTCCCTGTGAGGGTGGTGAGGCCCTGGCACAGGTTGCCCAGAGAAGCTGTGGCTGCCCCAGACCTGGAAGTGTCCAAGGCCAGGTTGGAGCAACCTGGGCTAGTGGGAGGTGTCCCTGCCTGTGGAACTGGATGAGCTTTAAGGTCCCTCCAACCCAAACCATTGTGGGATTCTGTGATTCTGTGCATGTCCTGCCTTGGATTCACACCATAATCTTCAGCAAGTCTGTTAAAGCATCATTCCCTGAGCAGCTTTCCCCCCTCCAGAGGAAGCACAGGACTGTTGGTGCAGGGTTTGCACAGGCTCTGCTCTATATGTGTGAGGCATTTGCTGCTGCCTGGGGGAGCTCCACAGGAACGTGTCTGACACATCTATTTAGGGTGGAAGTTCCTCGGGGCAGGGAGCATCTGCTGCTCTTGCTGGTACCAGAGTAACACAGCACAGCCCTGCTCCAGCCTGCAGGACTTCACCAAACTGAGCAGGATTAATAATTACAGACCTCAGAAGTGTTTGGAAAATAATGCCCTGCTGTTGGTCAGGACTCTTCAGCTGCCTGATAAAGGGCCCAGTTAGGATTTGGGAAGGGGAACTGCCCGGTGACCCTGGCAGGCTTGCAAACACATCTCCTAGGGCAGGTCACCCCAAAGGGAGCCCCACTTTGCTGCACTGAGGCCACGAGTGATGGCAGGGGCAGCCAGGAGCAGGGAGATCCCCATCAGGGAAGCTCAGAGCCCCCCCTTCCTTCTCCAGCACTTGGCACCTCTTTGTCCAGCCCTTCCCTGCTCAGCTTGAGGAGAGTGTCTGAGAGCTGTGTGCCAATTAACTCATCAAACTGGTAAATATTTGTCTAACAAGACAGTTAATTGCTCTGGTTTTCCTTTAAGGATGTGGTTTGCAGAGCAGCCCCATCTGCTTCCATCTCCCCCCCCTTCCCCATCCCCATCCCAAAACCCACCTCTGCAGTGTCAAAAACTGCAGCTGACGTGTGTTAATCACGGCTCAGATCAGATGCAGCCTAATAAATAACCACAAATGAGTTTCTCCCTTGCCGAGGAGTTGTCTCCACGCCCTGGTCTCCTCCCAATGCGATGACATTTTATTTTAATTCCCGTGCAACTCCAGTGGCAAGTTGATTTCTCGCCCCTTTCTCCTCCCCACGCCGCCAACCTCAACCACCACAGTGCCTGTGCCTCTTGTCACACATAACCAAATATGGCAGCTCTGAACAGGGCTGTCATTTTTCTCAATTTCACTTGTTGTGATATAATCAAGTATGGATTTCTGACACAGGAGCTCTAACAGGCTCTCAGGCTGCTCAGAGAAAAGGCTTGTTTTGTTTCATGAGGTTCCCACTCCCGGCCAGTGGGACCTGTGGGTGGCAGGGGGTGGATGAGGAGCCCTGAGCAGTCACTGGGCTTGGCAGAGGGCTGAAATCAGGTGCCCAGTGCCATTTCTGCACAGGGGGATAAGTCAGGTTTATTTGTAGCGTGCTTTGCTCACACACCTGCCCCTGGAGCAGGGAAGGAGGGATTAGACACAATTCTGGCTTGTCAGCCCTGAGAGTCCTCACTGAGCACCCCCTCAAAGAGGAAATGTAGATTTGGTGAGGACACTGGAATAGCTGAGTTTGGGCCAAGGGAACTGAGCCTTAAAGTTTCTACTTGATCGCTGCAAAAGACACAGAATGGGAAGGATGGAATGAAAAATCCTTGCCAGCCGAGGCAGAGGGGCTGAGGGGAGCTGAGCACTCCTCCTGCTGAGCATCCTGCATCCCTGGAGCAGGGATGGGAGCAACTGCTGGTCCCATCAGCCTGTGTTTGGCTTCTTCTTATTGACTCCAGACAAAGGACCTTGGAGAAGGATCTGCATCTGGATCTGCATCTGGATCAGACATGATCACCCTAAAATACCCACGCTCTGGTTCGGGGAGACCAAATGCACTGCAGTTGGACTGAGCACAGATCAACCTTTCTGCTTTTCCAGGCTGTTTTTTTGCTTTCCTTCTGACTTCCAGAGGCAGCAGGGAGTTCTCTTGCCTGCCTTTTTTAGGGCTAAACATCTGTGAGAAATGACATGGGTAGGACTGACCCTTTCTGCAAGAGGGAACGGGGCTCTTGGGTCCCTTCAGACCCTGTGTGTGCAGGGCAGGGAGTCATCAGGTCTCTTACAGACCTGACCACAGACAAATCCAGGACCAAACAGCCCTGTTCCTCCTCCTCTTCCCCAATGTCCTGCTCATCCAGGCTCTCTGGTCACCAGTGTGTTCCCAGAAAACTGGTTCTCACTGGCTGAAAGCGAAGACTTCCAAGAACAACTCAGGAGGGTAAATGAACCTCTCCCACTTCCATCTGAGCATTTGGAGGAGGCCTTCATCAATTATTGGGCATTTTGAACATGTCTATTCCAGGAAAAATAGCTCTTCCAATTAACTGAGCTGTATTGGGACCGGCTAAAAATATCTGACAGGCTCCAGATATTGTCATTCCCATCTTCAAAACAGACAGATAAGAGAAGAGAGAGTTTGTGCCCTCCGTGGGAACAGAATATCTTTATTCTTATCCACAACTGTGAATGAAAGGAATATGTAGCAGCAGCCTGAAAATGACTGTAGCTGAAAAGAACCAGAAGTACTACTACTGTAAAGTCACAGGAGAGATTCACTGCCAAGCTGGAGATTTAAAGCTTCCAACGCAATTTCCTTAATGAGAGTAATTTATTGACAAACTGCCCCAGAAATATAAAGAAGACATCAAGGCCTTAATTGCAGAAAAGGAACTTTGTTACAGGAGCATCTCACGAGGGAGCCTCAGCCAAGGCACTGCCAGTGCCTCTGAGTTTCCTGCCAGTTCTGGGATGCCAGGGAGGATTAAGCTGCCTGGAATGGTATTCTGCAGTTTGCTCAGCGAGGGCAGCTGGTGCCCTTCACAACTCCAGGCTCCTGTTGCCTCGTTTCATTCCTGAGTGTGTAAAAACCTGTGGAAATAAAGAGGTACCTGAGCCAGTTCAGCTCCAGGTGAAGAAGGGAACCAGGGGCATCCAGGAGAGCAGTGAAGAGCTTTGCTTTCCTGTTGGCATGGAGAAATTCCTGGTGCTCTGGATGGGATCAGTGAGAAGTGCAGAGGGAACACACCTTGGAACCTGCAGAGTTGTGAGATGGTCTCACCCCTCTGAACTGAGAGGAGCAAAGGATGTTCCTGGACGTGGGAGTCCCTCAGGGATTCTGAAGGTGTAGTTTCCAGCAGTATCTCAGGCTCTGAAAGCCCTTGGCTCGGGTGCAGATGCTGGAAAAGCAGCAGCAACTGACCAAAAAATAGGGAAAGGACAAAAGAAAATATTATCTTTGACTGTTTGTACCTCGCCTGTTTATACCAAACACACTAAAATAACCAAATTCAGAAGAGAGACCTTGTCTTAAAAAGAGACTCTGGAATTATACCCTGGACCTTTGCTTGGGAATTGACTGAGAATTAATCTGAGAATGGATGCTGGATGGTCTGAACCACTGTTGCTTAACTCATCTCTCTGTTAAAAGCCTTAATAAGCCAGAATCTCTAAAAAATGCTCGTGCCAGAATGGTTTGGGTTGGAAGGGACCTTAAAGATCATTTAGTTCCTGCCCTCCCACCATGGGCAGGGATGCTGTGGATCCCCAGCTCAAACTCATCCTGTCCTTAAGGATCCAGGGGCAGGAGGTTGTGCTGTGGTGGGTCTTTGCTTCACACAGGGCAGAGTTTGCTGCAGGAGGTTTCTGAGATGTTGCAGTCCCAGCTGGTGACTGGAGCAGAGGATCTCACAAATCTCCTTGGATATTTTTAGGAGAGGAAGATTTTTGTGCAACAACTGTTGCCTTTTCTAGGAACAACTCGAGAGCCTCCAGAAGAACCACCCAGACCTTGTGAAATCCGGGTTTTTGCATAAGGGACAGGAATACTTCAGCAGTGAAACAGGGAGTTTGGATGGAAATAGAATTAAAAGCGCTGGTCTGAGACTGGGGAAGGAGAAAAAAAATTATTCACCACCTTTGGATTAAGAACAGCTCTAAAATATCAGGACTCTGGGTTTGCTACAGCAGTGGAGGTCGGGTGTTAATCATTACCAGCTATGATTAGTTTATGTGATGCCACAGATGGGCAGGTAGGGCAGTGGATCAGGGAAGAAATGAGGCCTCTGTGTGTCAAAGATGATCTTTTTGTGTAGAGTGAGCAACCTACAGCAGGGCAGTGCTGGGAAGCAGCTGGTGGAGCTACTCTGAGCAAACAGAGAGAGGCATTTTCAGCACACAACAAAGAAGTGCCAGTAAGAAACACACTGACAGCCTGGCCAGGATGTGATAAAAGGCTGTTTCCACTCTGACTTTACAGTAAAAGCCTTCCCAGAGCTCTGACTCGTGGGAAGCCTCCCTGTTACAGGTGCTTGGGGGAACTGTGGAGCTGGTTTAGTGATGCCAGGACTGACTTTGTGGTTTGGGGCAGGAGATACAGGCTTGAATACACTCACCAGAATGGGAGGTGTTCAGCTCTTGAGGAACTCCTCCTGGAAATTAATCCTCCCTTTGAACAAATTGTGCTGCCATTTGACAAGATTTCAGTGGTGGCAGCGTCCTTGTGAAATTTTAAAACACCTTGAGAGAAGATCAACCTGTTTTTTCTAGCAGTGAGGCCTTACTTTTCAAGGAAAGGTGGTTTGCTGAGAAAAAAGAAAAACAACAGGAAGTTCTGACGCATCCTGGAGATAAAAATACCCTGTTCCCTGAGATAAAAGTAATAATTTTATTGGTTTTTTTTTTTTTTTACAAAGAAATAACATTTAAAGGCTGAAGAAAGAAAAGCAGAAGTATCGAAAACATATCTTTTTTTTTCTTTTTTCTGTGCAAAAATATTTCTCACCCACCTCTGAGCTCAGGGGAGCCCCTCCTGCCCAGTGAGGGTGGGGTGGGGTGGACAAGGATGGAGGGACCACCCCTCAGAGGTGAGGGGTGCAGCTTATCCTACCATGGGGAGGGCAGGACACTGTGATTGTTCAGTTTTTCTCTCAATTCACCTCTTTCTTTGCCCAGAGGAACAAAAGTGGGTGAGTGGGGAGAAGAACAGACTTAGGAGATGAATCCCAGTGGGGAGGTGCTGCAGGACTCGGTCACAGCATCACAGAATACACTGAGTTGGAAGGGACCCACAAGGACCATTGAGTCCAACTCCTGATCCTGCACAGGACCATCCCCAAAATCACACCCTGTCCCTGAGAGTGTTGTCCAGGTGCTTCATGAGCTCTGTCAGCCTTGGGGCCATGCCCTGGGGAGCCTGTTGTCATTTCTTGTGTTGCTGTCACCTGTTTCCCCTAGAAGACTTTTCCAAAGTCCTGTATATCCCCCTTCTCCCATTTATCCCCCTTCTGTTTATCCCTTTTCTCCCACTTATCCCCTTTTTCCTATTTATCCCTTTTCTCCCATTTATCCCCCTTCTCCTGCTTATCCCTTTTCTCCTACTTATCCCCTTTTCCCCATTTATCCCCCTTCTCCTATTTATCTCTTTTCTCCCATTTATCCCTTTTCTCCCATTTATCCCTTTTCTCCCATTTATCCCCCTTCTCCCATTTATTCCCCTTCTTCCAGTTATCCCCTTTTTCCCATTTATCCCCTTTTCCCCATTTATTCCCCATCTCCCATTTATCCCCCTTCTCCCATTTGTCTACTTTTTCCCATTTATCCCTTTTCTCCCATTTATCCCCCTTCTCCCACTTATCCCCCTTCTCCCATTTATCCCCCTTCTCCCATTTATCCCCCTTCTCCCATTTATCCCCCTTCTCCCATTTATCCCCCTTCTCCCATTTATCCCCCTTCTCCTATTTATCCCCCTTCTCCCATTTATCCCTCTTCTCCCATTTATCCCTCTTCTCCCATTTATCCCTTTTCTCCCATTTATTCCCTTTTTCCCATTTATCCTTCTTCTCCCATTTATCCCTTTTCTCCTATTTATCCCCTTTTCCCCATTTATCCCTCCTCTCCCATTTATCCTCCTTCTCCCCTTTCTCCCCCTTCTCCCCTTCATCCCCCTTCTCCCACCCCCTCTCAGCATCAGTGCCGCTGCGTTTCCTTCCGCCTCTTCAGAAGGGACCATTCCCTCTGCAGAACCACAAATCAGGCCAAACACCCTCTGTCTTTCCATTGCAGGGCCGCAAACCCGGCTACTTTTCCTTCCTGGACCCCTTTTCTCCCGGAGTGTGGCTCTTCATGCTGCTCGCCTACCTGGCCGTGAGCTGCGTCCTCTTCCTGGTGGCTCGGTAATGCCGCGGTGCCTTTCCCTTCCTCGCGGTGCCATCTAGCGTCACACTGCCACACCCGGGGGGACACGGGGACATCCGCCGGCCCCAGACACCCCTGTGGGACGGGACAGGAGAATGCCAGCCCTCTGCCAGCTGGGGAATGAGCAGTGCCACTGGGTGCCACCGAGTCCCCACGCCCTGGTGCCTGGGATGGGCATTGGTGTGCCTGGCAGGAGCATCGTGCCCTGATTCCCAAATCCGCGTGGGAAGGGTGGGAGAAGGTCTGGCAGTGGCGTTGGTGCCCTGCAAATGCTCCCTGTAGGTGCCTTTTACCCCTTGTCCTGAACAGGTTGGCAGGAACCCACAAATCCGTTCGGAGATTTTAACACAAATTCCACGAGGGATGTTTGGCTCCTCTGGCCCTGTGCAAACCCCAATATGTGTGGAGGAAAAGAAAGTTCATTAATATCTTTCAGCAGCCTCTTGGTTGACGTGCAGAACCTCCCTTGGCAGCTCAGTTCCATTCCCCTATGACTAATTTAAGTCAGTGTTAAAATACATCCCTCAGTGCTTGCCTGCAGTGTCTCCCATCGAGGCCCAAGGTCTGAGCTCTGCTGCTGTTTTTCCCTGACCTCCCAACAAGCTGCTTATTGTTGGTGGCATAGATGGGCTTTTGCAGGCAGGGTTGAGCTGAGCCCTGGCAGTGTATTCCACAGATGTGCTCGGGGCTTGAGGGCCCTTCTGGGACACTCTTAATACCCAATTCTCATTCCACAAATTGGAACTTGTGCTGTCACTTGGTCCCTGAGCACGGCTAAAGTTGTCATCCTGACAGGGGCTTTAATGGGTTCTTGGAATGCTTTTACTGCCTCAGAAATGCAGTTCTGAGGAAACCATTGAATAATGCAGCCTGATGCTCTCTTGCAGACCGAGAGCTGGTGCCTCTTTAGCCCCTTCCTCGTGTTTTAAACATGATCCTCCAAAAATGTGCCTTTACCCAGCTTCCCACTGGAGATGGAGGTCTGGCTGCTGCTCTGTGCCTTGCTCAGCTGTGAGGAGCTTTTGACCCCGTGAATTGCAGGGACTCTCTCAGAGTAGAGGGTTTCACTGCCAGTGCTTGATTCACCATGGAAAGTCTGCAGGAAATAACCTCCCTGGCGTCACAGCGAGGCAGGAGCTGCAGGAGCAAAAATAAACCCCTCATCTTGGTTAAATGCTGTGTGAGCTGGCAGAGCCCTGCAGCTTTTTTGGCAGTAGCCCCAAAATGACCCTCCCAGGCCTCAGCTTTGTTAACCATGGTAATATAATGAACTGCAGCAGAGAAATTAGAAGACTTTCTTAGCAACCAGGGAACTGAGGCTTGGAAACGGCAAAAAAATAAAAAAAAATAGAGTTAGGCTGCAGTCACTTCAGTGACAGGCTGTCAGCTATCTCACAGTCCCGCCTCTGTCCTGTCTCTGAAGTATGTGATGCTTTGAAATGCACTTGGCTTCCAGCTGGACCTTGCCAGGCCAGTCAGACCTTCTCAGAGCAGCCATTTGCAGCAGGGCAGTTGTTTTTCTTGGTGGTGTAATGCAGTCAGGTCTCACACACTTCTCTTTTGAACTTCCCGTCAGTGCTCGTGCTCCAGCAGGGAGCCCAGCCAAGGATGTTTGATTTCAATTTCCCATCAAGTCCGTGCACGTGTGGAATTATTGCTGTGGTGTGTGAATTTGCTCACAGGGCTGCAAAAATCTGCCTCCTTGCAGCCTCCCCGTGGCCCATGCCCAGATTTTCAGCTCAGCAGAGCCTCTCTGCTGAAGTTTTTTGCAAATCTCTACGAGAAAGCCTCTGGCTTCTTGAGTCTTAGAGCAAACATTTCACACAGCTCTGAGCCCTGGGCATCAACTTGACGGTGAAGTGCTTCCTGCTCAGAAAGCTCTGCCTCCAGGAGAGCTAGAGCTTCACAGCTTTTCTTTTTTTCTTTTTTCTTTTTTTGGCTTCTTCTCTCCAAAGTGTCCCATTTCCCAGTGAATTAACCTGAGTTACCTGTTTCCTGTCCTTTTAGGTTGACACCCTACGAGTGGTACAGCCCCCACCCCTGCTCCCAAGGCCGCTGCAATCTCCTGGTGAACCAGTACTCTCTGGGCAACAGCCTGTGGTTCCCAGTGGGGGGGTTCATGCAGCAGGGCTCCACCATCGCCCCCCAGGCACTGTCCACGCGCTGCGTCAGTGGAGTCTGGTAAGGAGGGCACCCTCCCCTCCAGGGAGGCTTCTCGGGGCAGGAGGGGATGGAGGAGGAATTTCTGCATGGAAAGGGTTGTTAAATGCTGGAAGGGGCTGCCAAGGGAGGTGGTGGAGTCCCCTTGCCTGGAGGTGTTCGAGGAACGAGCTCAGTGCTCTGGTCTGGTGACGAGGCGGTGGTTGGACGAAGGTTGGGCTCGACGGTCTGGGGGGCTTTTCCAACCTCAGTGGTCCTGTGGTTTTGAGAGGTGGAGAGCAGATTCAGTCCACAGGGGAACCTCAGGTTGTCATCTTCTCTTCCCCTCTGCCTAGGTGGGCATTCACCTTGATCATCATCTCCTCCTACACGGCCAACCTGGCCGCCTTCCTCACGGTGCAGCGCATGGACGTCCCCATCGAGTCCGTGGATGACCTGGCTGACCAGACCACCATCGAGTACGGCACCATCCACGGCGGCTCCAGCATGACCTTCTTCCAAGTAAACCCCATTCTTTGGCTAAAAGGGGTAGGGAGTGCAGAGGGCACCCTTCAGTCACGTTTGGGTGCCACTCCAGCCTCTCGTACCCGTTTCATTCCAGTTTCTGGCACGGAGGGGATTTCTGGAGAGATCCCTGCCTGCTTGGTTGTACAGGAGTGGGCTAGACCCACAGTGTGAGGAGATGGGGAGAATGGTGGGAGAGGGAAGGAAATTTGACAAGGAAGTCAAATTTTCATGTGTCTCCATGTGGTTTTGATGGGATCTTAGCTTTTACCTGAGAGTCTTTCAGCAATGAAACCTTTGCCAAGCCCAGGCAGGCTCACAGTTGTCACAGTGCTGGAATCCATGTGTGGTCAGTGGCACTGAAGATAAATAAATTAAATGTATTCAAAGTTATGTGGGCCATTTAGCCCAATTTAATTTTTATCTTCCCTGCTCTATTCAGAAGGGAAATAAATGAGTGAATCTTTTCTGCAGCGCTCTGAATGCACAAAGAACTGCTGGAGGATTATTTATTTATTACTTGTTGAAATTCCAAAAGGAGAGAAAGCTTTTCTCACTTTTTTTTTTTTTCCACCCCCCTCTGAGTCTGAACTGAATTTGGAAGGCTGAGAAATCTCTGGAGTGGGCCTGAGCTTTTCAGCCCAACTTTACACTCTTCAGGGGTTTGGCAAGAAGCTACTTTTAAGCCAAGCCTTGCATGTGAAATGAGCTGAACAGAGCCCGAGTGACCCAAGGTGGTTGTGTACGAGGCGCTCGCTTAAGGAAGGCTTTCAAGTTTAAAGCCCTGGCTGTGGCTCTGCGCTGCCTGGCGGGTGCTGGAGTCCCTGGGATCAGAGAGGAAATCGGGAAGAGATGTTTTTGTACCATTTGCAGTGCTTTAGGCTGTGTTTGGATCCGTTTTCCCCCGGTGGAAGGACGGCGGGTCAAAGCAGGGATGGATTCCACAGCCTGCCTCCATCACCCCTCCCTTCCCTGCTGCGTGAAATGTGTGTCCACTGCTGAAGCACCTTGCCTTGTAACCTGTCCTGGCAGCATTTCCCCTGACAAAACCACACGGGTTTAGCATTTGAAAGTGCAGTGAACTGGCAAGAAACACCCCCCCTGCTTGTCTGTCTCTTGCCCAAGTGACTGCACCCAGAGGACAGAGCTGGACAGATGAGGACAGGAACTAGGTCAGCAGCAGATTCCCTAAAGCTCTCCAGCATCGCTTACCAGCCACAGAAAATGAGCCCTTGACAGTGTGAAATTCCTAATGGAGACCAGAGCATGTTTATATTCAGTCTTTGTGCAAGCAGGTTTCACTCTTTGCTCAGTACAGGCAAGAGAGATTAACCACAGTCGGCTTCCTCTGGATCAAACCAGAGTCTGAGGGGCTGGTGGAGCTTTAGTTTATTGTAATCAATGAAAAGATTTCAGTTCTCTTCAGCAGATGCTTTGATTTGCCTCACAAGGGGGTGGACCAAAATCTGGATTCAGGGGGCTCCAAAGAGCTTTAGTTCTGCTCTCAGTGCCCTCCTTGGGGCGCTGGTGTCTGGCTCTGACACTGGAGGACTGTTAGGACAAGGTTCCAGTGATAGTCAGCAGGGTGTGACTTCTTCAGATGTTTAAATCAGACAAGCACAAGCTATTTCTTCTGTCTTTTTTTTTGTCTGTTACAGAAACTATGAATTATTCTAAAACTGAATTTACATAAAGAGCTTTGTCCCTGCTGGAGTTATAGGCATGCCTTTCATGCCCAGCTTTGCCAGCAAAGTCTCAAACCCACCAAGATGTTTGAGCCTCTAAACCTGATTGATATAAATGAAGGTTAGAGTCTCAAATCCACCAAGACATTTGGACCTCTCCACCTCATTGATAAAAGTGAAGGTTAGAGTCTCAAACCCACCAAGATGTTTAAGGTTAGAGTCTCCAACCCAACAAGGTATTTGGGCCTCTAAACCTCGTTGATATAAATGAATGTTAGAGTTTCAAACCCACCAAGATATTTAGGATTAGAGTCTCAAATCCACCGAGATATTTAAGGTTAGAGTCTCCAACCCAACAAGGTATTTGGGCCTCTAAACCTCGTTGATATAAATGAATGTTAGATTCTCAAAACCACCAAGATATCTGGGCCTCTAAACCTTATTGATATAAATATGCAGGTTAGAGTCTCAAATCCACCAAGATATTTAAGGTTAGAGTCTCAAATCCACCAAGATACTTGAAGGTTAGAGTCTCAAACCCACCAAGGCGTTTGGGCCTCTAAACCTCATTGATATAAATGCAGGTTAGGCATCTAAAGCCTTTCTGAACCTGGCACCGGATCTGCTTTGACTCCTCTCCCCTTTTCATAGCGGGGGTCTAATTTGGGGTTTGGTTTAGGGCAATTAACGCTCCTCCTCCTCCCTCAGCTGTTGCTGGCTCCTTCCTCCTGCAGAACTCCCGCTACCAGACCTACCAGAGGATGTGGAACTACATGTACTCCAAGCAGCCCAGCGTCTTCGTGAAGAGCACGGAGGAGGGGATCGCGCGCGTGCTGAACTCCAACTACGCCTTCCTGCTGGAGTCCACCATGAACGAGTATTACCGTCAGCGCAATTGCAACCTCACGCAGGTCGGGGGCCTTCTGGACACCAAGGGCTACGGGATTGGCATGCCCGTCGGTAGGCAGTGAAGACAAATTCTAGTCCTTCTCAGCTGTCGGCAGAGGACCGGAGCGTTTGAAAGGCTGAACCGGCTCTGGAGCCGCCGTCGCGTCTCACGGCTCTGCCCGGGGGTGTTTTTTTTGGGGGGGGTCTGAGCTGCCCAAGGTTCCCCTCTCAGCCCCTGCTCTGGGCCAGAGCCACGTGACACGCGACTGCGGCTCTCGAGATGTGATTTCGTGTGAAAGATGTCTCGAAATTGCTGCTTATTTTCTGCATATTATGCTCTCTGCTGATTGTCTCCCTCCCGAACCAGTGTTTGTGCCTCGTTTTGTGCTCCCTGTTTTAATCCCAGAAGTGCTGTGAAAGTAATGCTGCTGTAACTGGAGTAGTTTTTAGCACGAGTTTCTTAACAGCTGGTGGTTCTTAAAACTCCAGGACAGAGAATTGGGCAATTCAGTGGCTATCTCAGGTAATAATCAGGTTTAACAAATGCAGGGGGTTTGTGTTTCGCCGTGTGAGAGCCAGCAAGAGAACATCATCTCCTAGGGCAGCACGGAAAAAGGATGTAGTAGTTGTTATTCCCGATCTTTCCTCCAGTCCTGACATTTAAGCACTGGCACTTAGCAACACAAAGTTAAGGTGAATTACATAAGGCCCATCACACAAACAGTCTCTCCAGTTTAGGTAACGTGGGGAAACTTGTAAAGTCACCTGACTGTGAGCACAAACCCGCACTCGGGGCTAAATCTGTTCTGACATTGTCTTGTTAAACAGTGAAACTGTAGCAGATAAGAAGAGCAGAAAGCTGCTGGCTGGGACAATAGTGCAGAGTTACTGGGAGAACTGGGGTCTTTCCCACGGCCCTTCCTCAGGATCCCTGGTAGCAGACACCAGGGTGCACTAGAGCTTGGCACCAAGCACAGAAGTGAGCAGCTCTACCATGAACATTTGGGCTTGGATGATCCTTGGGGTCCTTTCCAACTCAGGGTATTCTATTCTGTGACCAGCTTGAGGCAGGGAGTGCTAGAGCACGGTCCAAGTTGTAGGTGGAATGACAGCAGAGGGACCTCCGTGGTCTGGAGGTGTGATGTTGAACTGTGTGATGTTGAACTGCCCATTCAGTCCCTGCAGCCAAGGCTCCCCTGGTGTTGGACCTCCTGAGCTGGTCTCAGCTGTGTGGCTCTTGGTGGGCAGGAAAAACACCTTCTGCAAGGAGTTTCCATGGCTCACATGGAGCGATGTCCCCTCCAAACCCCTCAGAGACGAGCTGTTGTAGCTGGACACACGAGTGGGGAGGAAGAGTGGGGAGGAAGGCTGGCCCAGGGGGTGCCCTACCACGTCCCTCTTGGTGTTGCAGGCTCTGTGTTTCGAGACGAGTTCGACCTGGCCATCCTCCAGCTGCAGGAGAACAACCGCCTGGAAATCCTCAAGCGCAAGTGGTGGGAAGGAGGGAAGTGCCCCAAAGAGGAGGACCACAGAGCCAAAGGTGAGCCACGCCACTCCACACGAGCGTTTCTGCCTGAGAATCTCTTTTTCCCCTTCTCCTGACCCGAGATTCCTTCCCTCACAACTCAAGGAGAAAGCCAAACAGCTCCGCCACCGAGCCTCACGCTGTGTGTTTTTGCCTGGGGCAGAGAGAGCGGGAGCAACCAAATGACAAATATTGGAGGCATATGGAGGGTAAATTACCTCCTAATGAATGCCTGGGAAAATGGATGGCTGGAGGGATCAGACCAAAATCCTGGGTTCCTTGAAGGGAGATGGATCTCCACCACAGGCCTGCTGGTTAATGGCTCCGAGTGAAAGCATCTTTTAAACAGCCAGGGCAAGGGACACAAGGACTTTATAAGTACATCTGTAAACTGAGGAGCAAATTCTTTTGGGTAATGCTATGCAAATTGCCATAAAAGCTACCACATTAGGCTGATGTCCCAGCGTGAGAGCAGTTGCCAGCTTAACACAGTTGCTGCATTTTTTAGTCCTGGCAGTCGCCCTCTTCTCAGCAAGTGTTTTCTGGGAGGCCAGCAGGTCCCCCAGTTATAAGGCTGATCTTCTGACCCTTCTGAGGGCACAGACAGGGAGCTAAACTGGGTCTGTGGTAGCTATTTTGGTTTTATTACCTTGCAGCAGCAGTAGGTGTGTCTGTGCAGTTCATGGATGGGACCCCACGGGGCTGTGAGTTGATGCTCATTTTTGGGCTGTGCTGCACTACAGGCAGTCCCAGCTATCAATTTAAGGCTGAGGGTGTTGGCCCAGTGTAAGACATCAGGTCATAGCTATTAAAGAAGTTACTTTGAAGGCAAGTAAGCACATGGGAGACTTTTCCTCCATGGACTGTGCAAAAAGCAGCTCTGAAGTGGAATCTAGGCTGTGGGCTGCTTTGGGATGGCTTTGGAAGGGGGCAGCTGGGCAGCTGGGCTGTTTCTGGCACTGTTTGGTGTGTCCTGTGACCCTGGACAAGTTTTTCCCCTGGTTTTTTCTCTCTGTGATGTGAGTTTGGGAAATGGCAGGAGGAATTACCTCTCTGTGAGCTCGGGAATGGGTGCCTGAGGTAGCACTCAGGCAGAATGAGAGAAGCATGTAGAGAGAGCTGCTGGCCCTAAATTCAAATTTGAGAGCTGCTGGGAGGAGGGGATGGCCTTTATCTTGAGTCTAAACTGTGACTGTGGGCTGTGTTTTCTGCCTTGCAATTGCTGTGGAAGCATCTCTGCAAAGGGCTGATTTACAGAAGCACTGGACTGCTCTGGAGGTGATGCCAAAACAATGAAGGAGGAGGAGGGAGCAGTGTGACCTCCCAAGTTTTAGAACAAAGCAGGTCAGCAATTTACAAGGATTTTGGTGAGATTTTATGTCTAAAAGCCATGCTGAGATTAAGTCAATAAATCATTGATTCCTACACTTTGATTTAATGTTACAGAAGGGAGAGGAAGATTTTTATAGATGTTCTAGTTGACTAATGGCCTCAGTCAACCCAGTGCAAAGCACCACATGCTTTTTAGTAATCAATCCAATCAGGGGCCCAAACCCAACAAGAACAGGAGAGAGAAGAGCCAGATCCTGGACAGCAAAGGCTGAGGCCAGCACTGCTCCCCAGCTCATCTCACAGTCCAGCTCTGCAGGGCCAGAGGGAGGCACAGGCTGCAGTTTTGGGGCCAAGAGTTGACCAAAGCTCAGTCCAGGTTCTTGAGGGGTGGGTTTTCCTTCCAGCTGGTGAACTCTCTGGCTTGCAAGCTGTGTAGCTGTGGTAGTTATCCCACTGTAAGCCAGTTGTCCAAGGGAGGTGAGTCCCACGGAAGGGGCTGTTTCCTCCTAGAGAGCACCCAACCCATAACCCACCCCTTGGTGGCAGGGACCCCATTCTCTCACCCTACAGTGTGAAAGTGTTGGGTTCTGCTCTGCTTTGGACCCTCTCCTTGCTACTGCAGCACAGGCAGCTGCCATCATTTCCCCCCAGCACTTTGTAATGCAATCAAAGGAGTTTTTCTCACTGCCAGCTTCCTTTAAAGCCCTTTCCTGTCTTCTTCATCTCTGCTTCTTTAACAACCTTGCTCATCTCCCTTTGAGGAGTTCAAAGCAAGCGGAACTGGGTGAATAATTTGCAGGGATTAATGTGCCCGATTGATCTCGCAATTCTTCCCTCTTGTTTTCAGTTTGTCCACAAATTGCTTTGTGCTTCCCTTCAATGTGCTTGCTGTTTATCTGCAAAATCATCATTTCTGAGAAGGGATCTTCGATCCTGCAGTTATTGCAAGTCATTCACTTTGCCATCTGAGTCATGAGGGCAGCTATTAATAGGACAGTGCTGGCTCTGTGGTTTTGGTCCCTGGCTGGGTATCTGCAATGCCAACAAAACAGCAAAACTTGGGATTTCTGTGCAGTGATACTTTTACAATTTATGTCGAGTCTGCCTCTCCACATTGTCCCTCCTGCTTTGTTTTAGGCCTGGGGATGGAGAATATTGGTGGAATCTTCGTGGTGCTCATCTGTGGCTTGATCGTAGCAATTTTTATGGCAATGCTGGAATTTTTGTGGAGCCTTCGACACTCTGAGCAGTCAGAGGTAGGACCTGAGAGTGCCCTGAGGGGACAGTGTGTGTTTATTGCCTATCTGTGGGGTGCCCAGTGGGGTGCTCTGGAGCCTCACCCGGGCTGAGGAGCATTCCCAGCCTTGACACCCCAAACACAGGAGCAGGTTTGGTCCTTTGGGCAGGGTCTAAAATCCATGAGCTTCTCGTGCACTCCTACTAAGAGAGGGGCTGTAGGGATGCTCCAGGGGCTTCTGAAGGGTTCAGAGATGTGTATAACATCCTGGAGATGGGATTTCTACCTGCAGTGGGTTTGGGTCTTGTGTTGATATGGAGATCCAGAACACAGGAGGGTCTCTGATGAGAGGCAGAATCTGTTGGGTTAAATCAGTGTAAATGTCCAAGTATTGATGTTGAAACCCAGTGGCACTGAGTCCGTAACAATTTGGCATCAGAATCATGTTACAGAATCATAGAATGGCCTGGGCTGGAAGGGACCTTAAAGATCATCCAGTTCCAGCCCCTGCCACAGGCAGGGACACCTTCCACTATCCCAGGTTGCTCAGGGCACCATCCAGCCTGGCCTTGGACACTTCCAGGGATGGGGCAGCCACAGCTTCCCTGGGCAACCTGTGCCAGGGCCTCCCCCCTCATCCCTCCAGCCCCCAAAGCAGACCCAGCCCCGCGTGTCCCTCGGCTCCCTCGGGTGAGCAGCACGGCTCCTGTGTCCCCCCAGGTGTCGGTGTGCCAAGAGATGGTGACGGAGCTGCGCAACATCATCCTGTGCAAGGACAGTTTCCAGCCCCGCCGGCGGCGCGGGGGGCCGGTACGGACTCGCCCCGTTATCCCGGAGGAGCGCCGAGCCCGCAGCACAACCACGCTCAGCAACGGGAAGCTGTGCAGCGGGGGGGAGCCAGACCCCCTGGCACAAAGACTGGCACAAGAAGCCGCCCTGGTCGCCCGGGGGTGCACCCACATCAGGCCGTGGCCCCGAGTGCCGCCGCTTCCAGGGGCTGCGGGCGCGGCCGGCCGCGGGATCGCCCGCGCGGAGCGAGGAGAGCCTGGAGTGGGACAAGACCACCAACAGCAGCGAGCCCGAGTAACGCCGGGGGAGCGGGGGGCGCAGGGGAGGGGGCGAGAGGGTCCTGTTCCATTTTACAGAACACGGACTTGTACAATGTCGACTCGTTTTTAAACCACTAGCGGTCACCCGGCTTCCCCGGGGCGAGGTGGACCTTTGGGCCTGGCCGGAGGGTTTCGGTGTCCCCGGGGGACACGGGGCTGGCTGGAGCCTGGTGTGGCAGGAGAGAGGTCCTCAGGCTGGGCTCCGGTGGTTGTCTCCGTGCCACCGAAGGAGGAAGGACGTGTGGTGGTAACTGGTGTAGCAGGTATTGCCCACCCCAGGGTGGAGGCAAGAGCGGTTCTTGGAGCTTCTCCACGCCCAGGTCAGGAGAAGGGACACCGGCGCTGTCTCTCCACCAAACAGACTTACCAGGGGGTGTTCTCGACGGGCGGGGGGAGGGAGTTTTTATTCGACATGGACAAGGGAGGGGAAGGGGAGGAGTCATTGTTTTGTTTTGGTTTAATTTGGGCACGTCAGGACCTAGTCTCCAAGGCACCAGGTTTCAGGTGCTGAGCTCTTCTTCCTTTTCAGAGTGTTGGCAGGTGGACTGAAGGAGGAAGGGAAGGGTGGGATGGGATGGGATGGGATGGGATGGGACATGCTCCCCGTGAGAAGCAGCATTTGCTGAAAGTCCATCTGAGGAGTTGTTAAAATTACATATATATATAAATATATCTATACATAGATATATATATATTAAAATGCCAAAAAAAGAAAAAACAACCAACAAACACAGTGAACTCAAAGAGGCCTTGAAACGCCTGGAATTTCAGGGGTTCTGTGTCTTTTGTTTCGTTCTGGGGTTACCTTTTGCTTTTTTTCTTCCTTTCTGTTTTTGGGATGAGGGTGGGGGAGCCTTTTGAGGAAGGTGAGGTGGGAGCAGGTGAGAATGGGGAGCACTGGAAGGGGGGGGGGGCTGCCCTTCCCCACCAGTGGAGGGAGGTGGTGTTGGTACCCCCAAAGTGTCCACAGCCCGTGCCCTGCACGCTCCTGAGGTGACTCTGAGCTCTGCCCCAGGCTCAGGAGCTCCCCATGTGACCCACAGAGCACCCTCAGCTTCGAGGGTGACTCACAGCCCTTGTCCAGCAGCCACACAGCATTTGGGAAAACCATTAGCCCGGGATCTCATGTAAGGAAAATATTTACTTCCCTAGAAACAGCAGCAGCAGCAGCTCACCCTCTGCTTGGAACAGACGTGGGGGTTTTACACTGACGAATTTAACTTTCTGATTGAAAAACAAATTCTATGCAATTTCTGATTGTAAAAGGAAAGAGATGACAATGGAGAGGGGCAGGGGAGATAAAGCCTTGAGTGAAGGTACATCCTGTTCTTGAATTGTTTTCTTTTCTTTTTGTCTTGAATGTACTGAAATAAAAGATGTCCTTGTATAATTATGCTTTTTTTTTTGCCTTTTTTTTTTTTTCTTCTTTCTCCCTCCCTATCTACAGTCAGAAAAGTTGAGAGACAGTTTGAGGCCCATCTGCTCAGGGAGAAACCCAGCAACTGAGAGGAAGGAGGTGCAGGTCTCTGCTGCCTGAGTGTGTCCACACTGTCCACATCCATGGTGCTGCTGTTACCTGTGGAAAAAGCAGAAAGAAAGCAAAGGTCAATAAAAGGAACCCCAAATACGTGGTGATAAGGGGGAGAAAACCCCAAAGCGACAGCAGTGAGGCTGCCCAGGGTGGGCAGGTTCCCATGGAATGTGGACCATGGCAGCTGCATCCTTCCCAGACCTGCTGGGTGGATCCCAGGGGACCAGGGGATGAGGGGCAGGCCCAGCAGGTCAAATGCAGGAGCCCATCTCCAGCAGCTGTTCCTGAGGAGGGTGTGCAGGGAAATGGGGTGTGGTGATGGGCACGTGAGAGTTGTTCTGTTGTTTCCAGCAGGTTGTGGAAAGAAACACCTGCCCTACAGGGACATTAAAACATGCAACAAGGAGGAGGAGAGGATTTAGAGCTTGTTATGCAGGATGTCACATGAGAGAGGTCCTTAATCCACAGGATGTTCCCCTCTTCCCTGACTAAACAGAGCAGTGAGATAAGGCAAGACCTCCCCAGAGCCCAGGAATCCAGAGCCATGGGATGGGAGAGGCAGGTCCTCAGCTGAGGTAAGTCAGTAAAACTCCATCCCTGCACTGCAAGGAGCCAGGTTGGGCTTTCAGAGCCCTGACAGCAGCACTGGGGACATCTGAGTGTGCCTGTGTCGTGCTTAAAGGCCAACATGTTTTTACGAGCAGCGGAATATATTCATCAAAAAGAAGCTGCTTTTTAAAATTTATTTACAGATTAGCAGAAGAAAAGGCTCCATGAATCATTTATCAGACCTGATTTTTTTTTCACCGCTTCTATGCAGTGAATAAAGAGAAATCTTGACAGAGCCAGACATCATTCTGCATCTCCAAAGATCTTCCAGTCATCTGCTCAGACAGGGGATGTCAAGAAAAAAAAAATTATGGGAAACCACCTGGTTTCTCAGTGTCTTTGCTTTTCATCTCTCCTCCAAGCTTACCCCACCCACATGGTATTTTAGATCTGGGTCTGTATTTTAAGGAGATTTGTTACATGTCCCTTTTGCCTTCTTCTCTCTTTTTAAATTTATTATTTTTTTTTACGTCCGGAGGTTTTGCACTCAGAGCAGAAATGGACCTCAGAAGAAGAGGATGAAAGCTGCTGTAATTTAGATGCCTTTTCCAATGTCTCTGTGTGCTGTATTTCCTGCTCCCTGGTAAATCCTCCCAGGTTTCACCCCCAAGGGAGCAGTCAGCATTATTCACGTGCCTGGGCTTGTGCCCATATATATACATTTGTGTGCCCAGGTGGGTTTGCATCTCACATGTTCCCCCTCTCTCCCCAGTTTGATTCTCATCTTTGAAACTGTAGTGGGGGCTCTTTTTGCTCAGCCAGTCCCAATGCTAATGCAGTTCAAGATCTGGAGCAGTTTGCCGTGCAAAAAAGCACTTTCCCAGTATTGCTGTCTCCTGATAAAACTCGAGTAATTCTAGTAAGATATCTCTGCAAATTCCACCGGGAGCCAGAGATTAGATCAATTAAAATGTAATACTTTGCTTTATCCCTCCTAAGTGGTTTGTTTGAGGCTCCTGTAGCCTCCCTCTGTTCGGGAGCCCAGCAGTGGGGCCGAGGGCTCACGTCTCTCCCTGTGGTGGCAGCCAATTCCCCAGCCCTGGCTCAGTCCACAGCAGTCTGGCAGGTTCCTCACTAAAAGGCCTGGAATCTCTCCCCCCATGTGCTAAACCCCATGTTTGTGTTGTTTTTCCAGGCAGTTCCATTGATAAAAAGCCGTTTTCTCCCCGGAGGTTGCATGGGTGAAGGTATTAACGAGGCTTGGACTAGCCCGGGGGCACTTACTGAGCTGAGTGGCACATAAAATAGAAAAAGGGTTGTTGTGTGAACACAGGAGCCTGCAGGACCTTGGGAAGAGAGATGGTGAGCTGTAAATTATAAACTAGAGACTCAGCCCTCAGTGGTCCTGAGGCAGGAACCTTTTTAACCACTTGAGATCCACAGGAATCTTCCCTGCTCCTGCCCTGCCAAGTCCTCTTCTCTCCTTGAACCCCGAGTGCCTCACCAGGTAAGTGACCAAAAAGGTGGAGGAAGAGGCAGAGGGAATAGCTCTTGCTTTGCTTTGTATTTTTGGCAGAGATCTTGAGTTACAGGAAGGATTTGGAAGGGGTCTGAGTCCTACATGAGCTGGTGGAGATCCCACCAGCACTGGGAACTGCAGCTGTGGGCACAGGGTAATGGGGCAGACACAGGAGTGTGGGTAACTGGTTTGGGTGGTTCTGGGGTAATGACTCTGAATGGCAGAGACATTCCCTTGGGAAAAGGAAGGGACCTGTGGGTGAGACTGCTTGGAGGAGGCAGGCTGGTGACTGGTGTCTAATATGAAAGAGCAAATAAGCAAAGATGGACTTGGATGGTTTGGGGGGAAGCTGTCATGATCTGGCTATGAAAAAGCTGGTGTGAGTGATCAGAGCTCCCTCATCAGCTCATTTAATTTAGCTCTGAAAGTGATTACCTGCAAGATAGAGTGTTTCTCTCTTCTACTTCGCTTGTGCATCCAATGAAGGTGATGAAATTTCTTGCAGTGACTTCAACCAGAGGGAAAAGGTAGCACTGCCCTTCAGGAGGAGAGGGAGGCACCTCTTCAGGGCAAGGGAAAGAGCCCAGTGACCCAGAGGTGTATGTGGGGGCAGAACCAGGAAAAGGAACTGCAAACTGCCATCAGAAATGGTCAGAAGTAAGTCTGGGCTCATATGTGACACTTACAAGTCCACTGAGTATCTCCTAGTGAGGAGCTGCAGCTTGAACAGAGCAGAGAAACAGCTCAGTGTGGCCAAACGCCTTCTGAACAGAGGATAAAGCACCCACAGTTCCAGAAACCCCATTAAGGTCTGATGGCCACTAACTGATTGAAAATACAGAGCTGGACTCTTCTGGGCACAAAGTGCCACTGATGAATTCAGTATAAATGGGCTGTTCTGGAACTTGACACCACGCTGGGTGTATCAGCTGGCTGGGACAATGGGCAGGTTTGTGCATCCTTCAGGGAGGCTGTTTTTTTTTTTTCCCCTCCATGGGGGACTCTGCTGTGCTCCATTTGAGTTATTAGTCTGGTTTTGTGGCAGGACCGCAGCATTTCATCCCAGGAAGCGTTCCAGGCGGCAGAGGAGGATCTGCAGCTGTCTGGGGGGGGACGTGTGGCCATCCATCACCAGCACAAAGGGCCACACAGCAGCGGCTCCCCGAGAGCTCTGCTGAGCCCAGATCACTGGGAAAATGAAGGAAGCTTAATTAACAAAGGCTTTCTCCTCTGCTGCGTTTAGGTCTGCAGTTATCAGAGCAGTTCTGGCAGTTCTCAAAGACTGAAATGACAGTAGTTGGCTGTAAAAGAGATAACTGTCAGATTAGCTGGGACATATCTCTGCTGAGGTTTTCTATATCATACCTATCTTGAAGCATCTCCATGTATCAAAGGGACTAGTTGGCCATTTGCCTCCACAAAGTACCCTTTCCAACGTGATAAATAAGGCTCTGT